TTCTGTTCAAGATGTTCAGCAGCATGGACCCGCCTCCTGTGGAGCTGGTGAGGACGGAGTTTGTTTTTACCCTAACTGTTTCCTCTACATGCTCTTTAAGGTGCTGACATGTTTATTATTATATTTATTATTATTACATGTTTATTATTCTTCCTCGTCTATAGATCAGAGTGCCTGCCTTTCTGGACCTGTTCATGCAGTCACTGTTTAAGCCCGGATCAAAGATCAACCAAGACCACAAACACAAATACATCCACATCCTGGCCTACGCTGCCAGTGTGGTGGAAACGTGGAAAAAGGTACAGAGAACAGAGAACAGCTGCTGATGTGTCTGTGTTGTCAGAGCTTGTTGAACTAGGTTCAGACTGAAGGCTAAAGTGGCCCAAATGGGTTTTTTGTATAATTAAATCAGATCTGTTCTATCATGTCATCTATTGATAACAAATTCAATCTGATCTTTTCACGTTTATATGAGTTCCTAATAATAAGATCCAGGTTGTTGTTTTTTTGCAATGCAACCTCAGTTTGAGCATGCAACTTTCACATCACTCTGGATCCACGTCAGTTACAATGATGCGCTTGTGGGAGTCTTGTGGAGAGGAACTGACACGTAGTATAAAAAAGTAAAGCGGTCTCCATGTTTATCTTTTTTTGGAACATGCTGCTCAGTTCAGGGCTGTGACCAATTTACAGTGGAATCTGATATTGGTCACATTGGAAAAAAATTGTCAACAGAGAAACAACAGTTTTTTTGTTTTCTTTAGATTAACTGGCTATGGTTGTTCATCGTACATTTCTTATTTCCTTTAAAAATTCTCATCTATTTTCTTTTTGAACATTCTGTTTAACTACAGAACAAGCGAGTGAACATCAATAAAGATGAGCTGAAGTCGTCTTCTAAAGCCATCGAGACCGTGCACAACCTGTGCTGCAACGAGAACAAAGGAGCCACGGAGCTGGTGGCTGAACTGGGCACGCTGTACCAGTGCATCCGGTGAGAAGACCACGGAGACCCTGCAACGTGTTATTATTGTAAAAGAGGGAGGGAGGGGTTATATAAGAGACGAAACACACTTATAATGATCGCTTTGGGGGAAGAAATATTTATAAAAGGAGAATTTCAGTAGTTTGGTAAATAAATTAAAGATTGAAGTTCATGAGGGACTGAATGAAAAAAAATGTAAGATGTTTTCAATAATCCCCCAGATATTATTAAAGGACTTGGTTCCTCATCGCAACAGGCTTAGTATAATAAAAAAAATAATCTGATACGACTATATGAGTTTTGGTCCCATTTCCAAAACTGTCTCTATTTAAATACTTTGAGTATAAACATGTTACTTGTAAAACCAGTTTTCTATCTTTTGAAAAATGAGACGGCTGTGCAGGAACTTCGCCTAAAAAAAACAAAAACAGTATGATTTAAATCAGGAAACTAAGATCAAGCATTCAGTGACAGCTTTTACCACCGTTTTTAGATGCTTATCACTACAGAAGTGTTTTCATTTGTATACAAAATTATTAATATATATTGGCATTCTCACTTTTTGTTTATGTGTTCAGGTTTCCAGTGGTTGCTATGGGGGTTTTGAAATGGGTGGACTGGACGGTGTCCGAGCCGCGGTACTTCCAGCTGCAGACAGACCACACTCCAGTGCATTTAGCCCTACTGGACGAGGTACAGCATCACTACCATACACACACCTAAACATTTTATCTTTCAGTAAGCAGCTAAATCTAAATGAATGCTTCCTCCACACAGATCTGCACGTGTCACCAACTGCTGCACCCGCAGGTCCTCCAGCTGCTCATCAAGCTCTTTGAGACGGAGCACTCTCAGCTGGACGTCATGGAGCAGGTCAGTTAGTGTTACTGCAACGGTGATGAAGTTAACCAAAACGAAACCAAGCAGTGAAAATATATTATCATAAAACTATACAAAAACAATGTCCTTTTTAGTGAAACTTCCCTTATTGTGTCTATATATGCTATATCACAACAGAAAATAGGAGACAGCATGAATTTCTGGTAAATGACTATAAATCACAGTAATCCAAACAGACTTTACATTCCAAGAGATGCTGCATTATTATTGCAGCATTATTATAGTATTATTGTGTTGCACTGTTGGAGAAGCCTGTGACCTAAGATTTCTATCGACATAACTACTCTGTAGCTATGTTCGTATGACTAATAAAGAACCTTGAACCTTGCAATCTCTTCACTATTAATCTCTATTTTGTTTTGGGGTTGTCAGTGCTTCTTACTGCAGTATGTTGTAACTGTGAATGTTCCCCCCCCCAGCTGGAGTTGAAGAAGACGCTGCTGGACCGAATGGTTCATCTGCTGAGTCGTGGCTACGTGCTGCCTGTAGTGGGTTACATCCGCAAATGTCTGGAGAAACTCAACACGGACATCTCCCTCATTAGATATTTTGTCACTGAGGTAACGACTGCTTCTGATCTCCATTAGTGTCTTTAAATGAAACTTTTGCACCATTTTAAAGAATCTTTGCGTTCAAACAAACCAACAGATGGTACTGAAATGTTTCTCTCTGCAGGTGCTGGATGTGATCGCGCCTCCCTACACGTCAGACTTCGTTCAGCTCTTCCTGCCCATCCTGGAGAACGACAGCATCGCAGGGACAATCCGCATCGAGGGGGAGCACGACCCCGTGGCAGAGTTCATATGTAAGTGACCTGCTAACATTTTAACTCAAGGATAATCTGATGAAGTGAGGACGCCATGATCAACAAACAAGAGCTTTGCACGTACTCAAAAATAAGGTGGTGGTTTTCACACAAACAGTAAAGACTGGGAAAATAACGTCTGTTTTAAATGTGTTAACTTACTGTATAAGCAAAGATATGTGCATGAATATAATTTAAACTCCCTGTTTTTCAGCTCATTGCAAATCAAACTTCATCATGATAAACTGACACTGGAGGAGACTGAAGCAGAAAGACCAAACGGGGAGAAGATCTGTTCTCACCTAACGCTCTGCTGGAGGTTGAAGCACAAAGCTCAGAGACTGACTGTTCAGTGTTTCCAGGAGAACGATTTCTTTTTTATCGGGGCAACAACCAGGAAAATGGCACTGAGCTGATGGAGAACAGACTGGTCGAAGGAGAAGCCTCTGAAGATGCAGCTAAACATTTTCTTTTTCACCTGTATATTTGATTTTTCTATATTTTATGTTGCCTCAAGTAGTTTTAAAATAAAATCTTAAATATGTACTTTCTTTCATTACTTTTTTCTTCAGTCTTATAATTAACGTAACATTGGGAAACACACAGGGGTTAAATTGGGCCGGGGCTGTCCGGGGCTCAGCCCCGGCACATAGGACGATGCTCTGACGTCATCACCCTCGCTCATTTGTCATTTGTTTAAGCCATATGTTAAAACATCTCTCGTTCTTAATATAGACTTTATTTAGGGTCGATATGTGTTGACTTTACTTTAAAATAGCAGATCTCTGTGACATGATATCGTTTTTCCGCTTAGTGAACGTGTGTCTCTGCTCCGATCAGGAGCTGCAGCACCGTGTGTGTGTGTGTGTGTGTGTGTGTGTGTGTGTGTGTGTGTGTGTGTGTGTGTGTGTGTGTGTGTGTGTGTGTGTGTGTGTGTGTGTGTGTGTGTGTGTGTGTGTGTGTGTGTGTGTGTGTGTGTGTGTGTGTGTGTGTGTGTGTGTGTGTGTGTGTGTGTGTGTGTGTGTGTGTGTGTGTGTGTGTGTGTGTGTGTGTGTGTGTGTGTGTGTGTGTGTGTGTGTGTGTGTGTGTGTGTGTGTGTGTAGACATGTTTGAAAATGTAAAGTAAAGTAAAATGCTTCAATCTGGTGCACTTTAAGCACACATTACTAGAGACTAGATCTAGGGGGTACAACTCTAAACACCCATATGAAAAAGATCGGTTTACATTTTAATAATCAAATATGTGAACATAACCAATACCCTACCATAGCCAATAACAAATAAATGTATCTTTTATTTTTGTTGTTCATTCATATCTTATTTTACCTAGTTAAAATTTATTTATGCATATTTTTATATCTCTCAAGTTTTAAACGATATTTTTGGTTTACTGTCCTATAGTATACATTGAAATGATTTCAAACCTGTTTATCCAAATATTTATAAAGGAGTGCCTTGGAAATATTTGTTTACATAAATTGCATTTATCTCTCTCGCTCGCTCCCACGCCCACTTTGGCTGTGAGCTGCGGGCGCCTGATAAGCCAACACCCCCCATTTCATCACTTACAGCGCCCATCGTACAGGGCAAATGAAAAGTGTAACCGGGGTAAAAAGGGTGTTACCTTTACTTAATTATGAATGTTGTTACATCAAGGCTGAAAATTAGGATGAGCGCAAACAGTCAAAAAGGTTTTTTTCCCCCCCAGATCTGGCGCCCTAGGCGACCGCCTATGTCGCCTATGCCAAAAACCGGCCCTGTACACCATGCTAAATGTATGTCTGCATAAAGCTGAGTTATGATCAGTCATAATAACACAGAATTTGGTGATGATTAAATAGTTTACAGTGAGATTTACTCCCATACTTTTGGCCATACTCACGCAGCCCTACAAATGAATTGAGATTTCCACACAAATGTTCTTTAGCAAGTGTGCAGAGTAGTGTTGATTTAAAAAAGCAATTTGAAGGTTGGATATTTGTAAACCTTTTTTTATGTATATATATTAATAATTTAAGATGTAAATGAATTCCAGTTTATTTGTAGTACTTTCTATTTTTATTGTGACATTTGGTGGCATCAATGTGTGCATTTGATACAGATAATGGAGCAGTTGCTTTAGGGCCACAGTGTATATCCCTTAAGGTCAAATAATGAGATCCTCGACCTCCGCCCCCCTCTCGCACCTCCATACAGAGCCCCCCCCACATATCAAATCCCAATTTAACCCCTGGAAACACATAAAACTTTTTCTCAAGTATGGATTATGGCTCCACACATTAAGAGGACAAATAAAGACAGTTAATGACATCTATGCAGTAAACTGTGTAATAAAGTCACCACAGGACATATTTTACAGACATGTTTGAATCAGGTAAAGAGAGGAACATCAGTTTAAATGTTGTGTTTATTGGCAGTTTAAAAAAACATTTCCTTTTTTTTAATGTTTAGATTGTGTGAAAAGAAAATGATATCAACGTATTCTTAAAGGTGGGGTAGGTAATTTTGGAGAAAACCGGCTCGAGTGCGCTAGAATTTGAAAATACACAGCCGGAAAAAATCTGCCACTTCCTTACAGAGCCCCTCCTCCAACACACACGAACGCGCACATGACCAATGAGGGCACGAGATACGTTTGTGCACAGATGGAATGCTGACAGGCAGGTAGGCCATCCAGTTATTTTAGCCGACTGATTGGTCGTGCTTTTTACAGTACTACGGCTTTTTACAGCGCTACGGCTTCCACAGATGACTTTTTTATGGATTTTTTGTCAAAGCACTTAAGATATTCATTGCTATCGGGATGTTAAGAGCATTCCATGGAATATAACAAAAAGTGTATCTCGAGCCGGTTTCTCAAACTTACCTACCCCACCTTTAACTGCCAGTGCATTTAAGGCACACTTTAAACACCACACACTAAAAACATTCAGTGTTGGAGCAGTGCAGGACAAATTATAAGCTGTGTTCTTTGGCTGAGTCAGCTTGCATTATCTTATCTAAAAAAAAACAGCAAGTCTTCTTGATGTAAACCGAAGAATGTCTTGCATCTTTCCCCTCTCTAATATGGCTTTTCAGCAGGCTGAGCATGAATTTAGCAGAAATTAGCAATGATGTGTTTCAGCCCTTCTGATAAATGTATATTTGTAATCACTATCTGTGGTACGTTGATTCAAGCAGGTCTGAGGTCCAGCTGGAAGACCATGGCACTGAACTCTGATCCCCTGATAACAAGTGTAGAAAATAGACCTCGTGAATAAAATCAGAACATATTCCCTTTTCAACTTTTACACATAAAAGCCTTCCCTCTACCAGAGACAGGGAGAAGTGTGAAGTGACGCTGGTTCATCTACAGATATCCCTTGGGGACCACTGGGTCTCCGTACATGCAGTCCTCCTCCAGCGCCAGGTTGTAGGAGCTTCCACTTCCTCCCTTGTAGGCGCTGGTCACGATCCTGAGCCAGCCCTTCTCTCCCTGTGGAGAGGGGGGGGGTGAAACAGACACAATTTTGGATTATTGATCAATCATCATTATACTTTTTCAAGTAAAAATGCTTAAGAGTTTTTGCTTCTCAATTGTGAGGCTGTGCTGGTTAGTGGTAGTAACTTTAACAAACAATATGTAATTGTCTGCCACTGCGGGTCTCAGTCAAATCAATAACAAAAGAGAGAGTTTGGTGACATAGTGTGGGGCCATTCGAGTTTTTACAAATGATATATCTTTAATAAATATTGGTTTTGTTAGTTGAACAACAATGAATTTAAAGATGTCAACACAAATTTGGAAAAGTACACTACAAAAAGTCCAATTTGTATTTTCTTGACATTTTATGGACAAAACAGCCGTCAGAGTTTAGCTAAAGGAAGCCCAGGATCAGGCCACTGTTAGTCACACTTGATTAAACCACATGCACACAGTCTCAATGTAACTGATAAACTGCGCTTCCTGTTAATCTCTTAATAAATAAAACCTATGATATTTGTTCTTGAATTTAGAAGATTTTCAGGGTTTTAAGTGACATCCTATTGCACTGTATGAAGTTCTTCATTAGATCAACACTTACCCATGGCTCTCCCCAGGAGTTGCGTACAATCCAGTATTCCACACCGTTCTCCACTCCCCACCCTGCCACTGACACGATGTGGTTGATGTAAGGATCCTCCTGATATTCCATGTACAGACCTCCGGTGTATGCATCCAACGTGTCTGTGGCCATTATTCCACAGCTGGGGGAAACAAACAGAGCAGATTAAATATAAAAACAGAAAGATGTTGAAATACTGCACAACGAAACCAGGCAAAAAAAAAAGGATGAGGCCAACGCCATAATGTTTACCGAAATAAAATGTTTCAAACCTGACGGGTCCTCTGGCGTAGATCTCGGCCATCATCTTCTCCCTCCCGCTGACATTTCCAAAATCGTCCACTTTCCACAGGGTGTAGTTCTTCACAATGTTGCACACTCCAAAGGTGGTGCAGGTGCCACACTCATTGAAGGGTTTGCACTCTATAGAAAGAAACACAGAACATGTTACAGCTCAGACTTAGGAGGTTAGTGTTGTCAACATGCACCAAAAGACAATTCAGAATCAGAATCACCCTCATTGGCCCAGAAAGTGTCTTAATATGGAATTACTAATGTAATAGGTTGCTTTTAGACATAATGATTTGGTAATATTCATATTGACTGTGAATACTTACATTTTAAGAGAAACAGTGTGTCTAACCTATTAAAATATAAAGTTATTTACTCTGGTCTTTAGCTTGGTAGTTGTTGCAGGTCTCATCTGGGATGCCATGTTTGTTCGCATACTCCCACACTCCGCTGTGGTCTCCTCCGTGGCAGCTGCCGGCGTCCCCACAGTCCACCACATTCTGGACCGAGAGATAAGCAGATGGCCACGCTCCTTTCCTCTTGATGTTAATACGATCTGGTGACACAGCAAAAACAGAGAAATGAGAATTACTGAAAACCAGAGCAGTTTCTGTTAATCATTTCTGTGCAAAGAGGAAGTGGCACTCCGATGCTATATTAAAATGTGTCTGAAGAGTCATGTGAGGAGCTGCTATTTTACACCAACCCAAAATAATTGAGCCCCTGATCCGAAAAGCAATTTGATTCGTACCTGCCATGGCGCTGGTGCTGCCATGGGCCCAGCAGGAGCCGCAGTACTGGGGGATGTGCTGGTTGCGGGTCGTGCTCACAAAGTTGGTGCCATTGATGTTCCTCCAGTCCCAGGATTTGGGCAGTTCAGAAATGTTTAAATACTCATGAGGACGAGGAGCAGTCCTGTGAATGGAAAGGTGGTTAAATACATTAGATCTGTAGCAGCAACACACATTTAGGACTGCAAATAAGATTAATATTTGTATTAATCTACAGATTATTATCACAATTAATTATTTGGTGGATGATATTAAAAAATACAATTCCAAAACAGTTGCTTAATGTCCAAGGTGATTTTAAATCTGCCATTTGGGGATTTTTTTATTTTTACTTTGGCTATTTCCTGGAGCATATTGACATAAAATGATTTCTGGAATAATGGAACTGATTTGTACGGAAGAGGACTAGGACCACATGATAATTTATTTTTAGGATGTGACCAAAAGTCAGTTCTGAAAACAGTCTGAATTCTGAGCTTGAATACAGAAATCATTTTGTTTTACTTTTGGTCACATCCCAAATCATTTTTCTCATATGACCCTAATCCTCTTACGTATATTTGTGCCATTTCACCATGCATTTCCTCATTAAGATTGAGAATGATACTGCTTTGGTTGAACTGCTAACTTCCTCAACCTGTGATTCAGTATAACTCGTTGATATGCAAAAAATGAAAGTCACTTACAATCATTGTTTAATTTCGTTTAATTGTACTTGCAAGTAATGATACTCAGAGAAAAACAAGAATGATAGTAAACAAAAACTAACCATTTGAATCGAAATAACTCTCCAGCTACTTTTGTTTATTTCCCTACACCCAAGTATTTGCATTACATAACGTTGTATAAAGAGTCCCTCAGCAGAGGCTTGTTATTAAACTGCCAATAATATGAAGTTCCCTTATTTTTATGAAGCAACCAACAGCTATTTCTAGCTAACGTTAGCTAGCCAGCTACATACATTACCGTGTCCATAACCCTTAACTAACTTATTATAAACATGTCTCAGATAGTTTGAACTCACTTCTGCCCGAAGTCGTGTTTCCTCGGGGAGCGGACATAACACGGCTGCTTCTGGTTGAAAAACACTCCGGCGCTCACACAGGACAGAACGACCGAAAACAGGAGGACTAAACCGGTCAGAGCCATCTTTGCACCGAGCAGCGGCCGGCGGTCGTTAAGCTTTCGTTACCGGGGAGAGGAGGCTTTCAGGTGTCGCTGGTAGAGACGGTAGAGACCGAAGCCGGTAAGTGAGTCTGTGGAGGAACTCTGTGCTGATAAACATAAACCGCTACCGAGACTGCAGTCATGTGAACAGTAAATCACATCCCACATGCTTTACGAGGAAGTTAGTTTTTTTTGTTGCAGAACCACAGTCATGTGAACAGTAAATCACATCCGACATGCTTTACCAGGAAGTTAGGTTTTTTTTGTTGCAGAAGGATCTTGTACATTACAAGACAGGGAATTAATATAAAGATACTGCTACAAAACAATTATACATAAACAATAAACACTAGACAATTAGGGCAGAATTATATGTTGTTGAAGAGTGCGAGTCGCTTCACATGACATGGAAGTAATTTAACCACAAATAGTTGTTTCAATAAAAAAATGCAGAATTGCCTTTCATAAAAAAAATATTAAATCAATTAAATCCAATAAAAGAGTTGCATCCTACTTGCTGCATTTATTTGGTATATCCTTCTTTTGCTCGTTTGATTCACTGGGTCACGTGACATTGAAACAATTTAATATATTTCAATAAAAAAAAACTGCTGATTTTTTTATACAACATTTTCATATAAAGTATAAAAGCAATAAAACACACATAAAAGGTGTGTGTCCTATTTGTCCAGTGTAGTTGTCAACGATTCCACATTGTTATATGGAGTCATTAGGTCACATGCTATGGAAACTACAAAGAAATTGCTGAAAGGCAAAACCCTTATTCTTACATTTACAAGGCAAAAATATATTTCTAATGTTATGTAAAATATAGTAGACATTCAGTTTAATGCAAACTTTATGTCACCACTTTTATGCCCTTACTTTGTTCACACCTGTTCTTTGAAATTCACCATTATAAAGATTTGTATCCCAACTGTAAAATGTTGAGGTCTTCAAACCACATATTGCCATCACAAAAATGCCTGCAGAAAACTCTCAGAACTAACACTTGCACATAAAGTTGATGCCAATTGGTTGTTTTGGAGTCAATATATTTAAAAACAAATTACAAACAAAATTGACATTGACAGATAGTCTAATAAAAATAGGATTTCAGCAAAACTGAGAGGAAACTGACAAGTTATTTTGAAGAATAAACTTGTGAGGTGAGGAGTGCTTTAAATGTAATCTCTCAGCAAAATAAGTTTTCCTAAAAGCTTGTATGCACAAGATATGTGTGTCAGCATTTTGGTGAGTTTTACTTCACAAGCACAGAGGTCAGTTGGCACTGCCTTTATTGAAGGAAAACATGATTGTCACAAGGGTGGAAAAACCTACTTTTGCTTGAATTTGTTGAATACTTACTTAAAGTTAACTTCTTGTTTTTGCATTTCGTGCTGACAAAGCACGTCTGAATAACTCATCCGACACAGTAAACACTCACTCCTCAAATTGGTCCAGACATTACACAACCCAATTATCAGCAGGGTGAATATGAAGTTCAGTGGTTACCAAAAAAGAGAAACCGAGCAATTTTTCACAAGAACATGTAAACCTTTAATTCTTGATTGCATTAAAGTATCAATAACACCAATGCCTGCTGATGAGGTGGATAGCAAAAACAAGGTGTATGTTTTACAAGGTAAAACTTTACAGTAAAAGATGGACATTTACAAAATACTCTGCTGAAAAAGAATTAAGATTTCTTATTTATTCTTTCATGAAGATTTTATAATCAATGCAATTTCATCAAGAGCAATTGAAAAATCAAGAAGCTATAGAGCTGATCAGTGCAGCAAGTGCTAAGTAATGAGGACAAATACCAGTAAGGGCCTGCTTTTTATCATGTATTACACACCCAATTTACTGATGGTTTACCAAACTTTTCAGTGAATTGTCAAACAAAGGAAGTTGAATCAGTTTTAAATGATTTAACTCTTAACTGTATGATATTGGGTGTGTCATGATCAGGGTTGGTGGAGTTGGCCGCTGTTTGTTCTACACCAGTCTTCGCCTCTTGCAGTCACGCTCCATCTTGTCTTCAGACGTGTTGGTGGCTGCACCCAGAGGAGACACTTGGTTCAGCATGGAGTCATCTGAAGCCTGACCAAACAGGGCCATCAGCAAAGCAACGCCAAATCCTGTTGCACGCTCCCCCTGCAGAGACAACATACAGACAAATCATGGTTCAGGTTTCAGCGTCTTTACTGTAAACTTACCCTGAAGTTATCTTCTTAATGGGTTAATGTGACTGAGACATCCGACCTTGTTACATTTAACAAAAACAATGAACTGCTGATAAGAACATATACTGCAGGCTTAACTACAGTACATGTGATGAGTCTTATTGTTTTACAAGCTAAATCACAAGACCAGGGGCCTCATTTATAACGCCTTGCGTAGGATTCACGTGGGAAGGTTGCTTACGTAGTACAAAGCAAAAAAATAGGTACAGAAATTTTCCGATTCACAAAACATTGCGTACCGGCGTGGGAAGTGCGTACGGCACTTCCTACGCCCGTTTCCCTTTATAAATCACAATCGACTCGAAATGCGGCGCAGCTTTTGCGGGCTTCACGCAACGCCCACATTTGCCTATAAATAGTCAAAGAAACGCCCATTCATTCATTCATTTTGACTGACTGCATGAAGAAGATCGCAGGAAATTACGACCGAACAGCTAAAAAAGACATCTCACACCGTGTCAGATTTAGGTTATTTTGGGAAGGTCGAGATAAATCATATTGTTTGGTGGATGCAGTTTGAACCATGTAGCAGCATGGAGGTCGGATCGTCACCAAAATAAATAAATAAGTGGTCCGAAAAAGGTTAATGACAAAAAAAAATACACATAACCTTCCTCATGCAGTGTGTTTGTACCGGGGACAGGAGACACCCCCTTGATGAGAAACTAGGGATGCTCCGATCGATCGGTCACCGATCGAGATCTGCCGATACTCACTCTCTACCGATCGATCGGTGCTCTCTAAACATGCCGATCGCGAGGGCCGATCGCATCACGTAAAATACATGACACTTTTCTCTGTGCGCGGCAAAACAAGCTCGCCAAAATGGCTTCACCGGTCTGGCATTATTTTAAGGTGTCCGAAAAAGACAGTAAAATAGCGGTATGCAACGTGTGTGTGAAGCAGAAATCCTGCAGCTCCACCCGCTGTGACGGACCGGTGAGCGGAGCGAAACACACAAGAGTTAGACCTAACACACTTAGCTATTTTATCTACCTCTGGAACAAGCTAAACTAGTTATAAATATGTTTATTCTTCACTGTCGGCCTCACACATTACTGGATCAGCGAGCTGCATGAGACGATACTGACGGGCTGTCAGGAGAGGGAGAGCGGGGGAGATAGAGGGGGAGAGAGAGAGGGAGAGAGAGAGGGAGAGAGAGGAAAAGAGAGCGCTTGCTCATTTCTCCCGTGGTATTATCCAAAGTGAATGTAAACTTGAATAATATACATAATTTGAATGTAATAATTAAGTTGATTGTTGTTTGTGGAAGCTCCAGTGAATGAGCCCCATTAACTGAGTTTTAAACATCACTTTAAATGGAAGATTTAAAGTGATGTTTAAATCTTCCATTTAGGCCCCGCCCACTCGATCGGATCGGCGATCGGTATCGGCAGATACTGATTCTGGCGATCGGCGATCGGCCCCAAAATTGGCGATCGGAGCATCCCTATGAGAAACTGTAAGAAATGATCGGGGAATCCCTCCGGAGTGGAGTCATGACTACTGGATCTGAATTATTTTGTTGTATTTGGTGGTTTGTGTTCCAGCTGTCGATCAGCAACTATATATCCATAGTCCACCAGTTAAAGGAAATACAACTAATGTGTTGTGTTATATTAGCTGTACAATTTACCCCATATGGTGTTCTTAGTTTCCATACCTCCTGTGTTTTACGAGCGACTTATCAAGTCTTGGCAAACGGCATAAAACACGATTAAACGTGATAGTATATAAAACCATGCTCGTATCTACAACCTATAGAAATGCAAAACGGCGTCAGTTTAGACGTCCTCCTGCTTACCGCATCATTAATGAGAAAACATTTCATAACATTAACACAACATATTCGAGGTGGTTTTAAATAACATATCCGTATTTATTTATTTCTCCAAGTTATGTTTTTGTGTGCACTGAGGAGTCGCAAGCAGGCGTTTGTTTAATCATTTTAAGATTGGCTTTAATCAATGTTTGAAAATGAATTCTTCATAGCCTATATGATAAATGAGGTAACATTTTATTTATGGTATTATTTCCACATATTTCTCTCCATTCTTCCTTCTGCCAACGGTGTCACAGTTTCTCGTCCCTCCCGTTTGCGTACGCCATTTTTTGAGCGTATATCCCTTTATAAATGAGGCCCCAGGACAGCGTTGGATCATTTTTTATAACTATTACAACTTTCAAGGAGGTTTGTCTGTCAGCAGGATTACAGGTAAAACATCTTGGCCCATGCTAGTAAAACAACTGGCACAATCCAAAGAAGAACCCATTACATTACATGCAATATGTTTTGCTTTGGTTACACTCGGGTCATAAAAAGAAATGGAATTGTAGGTCGGAAGAGGTCAGTAGTATTATCCCAGATAAAGTCAGTATAGTATGTCACAAATGTCCCAGAAGCCTTTAGAAAGGCCATGAAAAAGTAATATTATAGTAGACTACACTGACTTTTGTTAAGGACCTCGCACATTGGCTAGAGGTTTTACATCAGAAGTAAACGTGACCCTGTAGGTATATGTGCACATCAAAATCTGGCACAGAATACCAGCAGCTCAAGTCAGACAACGTTTGAACAATATTTACAGACTCCAAAGTTACAGAGCAACATGTAAATCGGTTTGTCACTCCTGAGGCCTGTACTACGAAGCTGGATTTTCGCTTAGCCGGCTGACTTCAGGGAAAACTCGGGCTTTCCGGTCCTACGACGCTGGTTCTCTTTTTAGCGGGCTAGATCTCCATGGTAACTTATGCTGAGCGGCTAACCTCCTCGGGAGGAGGTTAGGTATGGAGCTAATTTCCTGCCATAACTCCACAAACAAACTAAACAGGTTTTACTAATGCCTCATGATTCACTAACAAACACAATGTGGTTTGCAAATACAAAACACCATCTACAAACTAATCCATTTAGTTTTGCAAAGAAAAAACGTATCTATCAAATAAACACATACCATTTTTCTAATAAATCATGTTTCAGAGACAAATTCAACATAGGTTTTACAAGTACACACATTTTTACACAAGTACAAATCTTGTTTTTACAACTACAACACTTTTTTTTACAAGTACAAAACTTTTTCTTCTCACGGCGGAATATTACTGCCAAAAGTCACGTGACTCACTCCCGTGACTTTTGGCAGTAATATTCCGCCGTGAGAAGAAAAAGTTTTGTACCTGTAAAAAAAAGTGTTGTAGTTGTAGATACGTTTTTTCTTTGCAAAACTAAATGCATTAGTTTGTAGATGGTGTTTTGTATTTGCAAACCACATTGTGTTTGTTAGTGAATCATGAGGCATTAGTAAAACCTGTTTAGTTTGTTTGTGGAGTTATGGCAGGAAATTAGCTCCATAGTTAGGTTGCAGGCTAAGAGATCAACTCAGTGAAAGCACCGCCTGCTGACCAATCAGAGCTCCGTGTGCGGAGTTTAAAGCGATCAATTCATATTACAGGATAGAGGAAATACAGAAAAACTGCCGTTGCAGGAAAGACGGCCGGCAAAAATCAACTGACTGTGTGAACGTGAAAATTAATAGAATATCCCCTCCCATCTTCAGAGCAATCTGACTATTATAACATTAGCGTTAAGAAAGCTTACTTAAATATCTGCCACAGCATAAGTAACCGGATCAGAGTAACATTAAGTACAGTCCGCGGCACTGTGAGTGCAGACGTCGATGTGTCCCATTATCATTCATATCACATGATATCACATCATAATGTATCATATATTTCCTTATTTGAGTCAGCTTCTTGAGCCGTATCTGGCCGTGCAACACTCACAGTGTCACATACTGTATGCAGAAGTATTATTTTAAGCAACACATTAAGTTGACGAAACACTCGAGTCAAATGTAATTAAAGTCAGATCCACTCGTGTCTTGGACGGGGCAGTGATTTCATAAACCTGTTAATGTACGCATTCAAACGCTTTTTCTTTTACCAGCTGTATTCACCTTGCAGGTGCAGCTATGTGGCTTTTATCCTGGATAAAGTGTTTAAGTCATGGATGTTTAAAGTTTAACTTCTTCATATTTGACTAATATTAAAGTTCACTTTTCATTCAGGAAGTATGACGCTGCGCTGTCAGTACGCTTGTCCATGTTTGTGATTGGTCGAATGCTCCAAATACCACCCCTTTCATGTGAACGCGCACCTAACTAGATAGGACACGGCTGGCTTGAGCGATCCACTTGATAACCAGCGTCGTAGTACAGTTTAGCGAGAGCGCGTATGTTTTGGATTGGGCCAACCGGCTAACTCAAACATATCCAGGTTAGGAAAATCCGGCTTCGTAGTACAGGCCTCTGTTCTGCTGCGGTGCATGATTCAGCTTAAGAAATATCAGGCCAGTTGAAGGCAGCAGAGAACAAGCATGCAAACAAGGTACAAAATAAATAAATCCCTAACTAATGGCCCAATGTCAGCCCAGCACACCAAAGCATGGTTACTCACAGCATGGACGGGGGAGGCAATGTCCACATGGACCCAGACACCTGGCCAATCAAAGCCCAGGTGGGAGCCGATGAAGAGTCCGGCACAGGAGCTCTGGGCGTTCTCCCGGTCCTGACAAAACAAGAAAAGGAAGATCATCAATACATGATAACATCAAATGAATATATGCAACTAGAAATTAGAGACGCAACAATTAGTCCACTTATAGTTAGGAAACCATTTTGATAATCGATTAAACCATACATTAAGTTTTCATACCATAATGGCGGACAATACTGTTTTCAGCTGCTAAATATGGAATAATTTAAAAAATAGCTATTTTTCCTGCTATAATAATCTACACTGAACCATTCTAATGGAACATTTCCAAAGATCTGTAAGATGAATTTAGGTTTGAAGGTTTTTTTGTTGCCCTTAAAGTAGAGGTTCCACCACAAAATATTCCAGAATGGCTCTGATATGGCCACAGAAAAACATTGTTGTAGGCTTTATTTGTACTAAACAAGCAGCGAAAGCCGGTAGAGAGGGTTAACAAAACTTAGCAAAAGATAAGGAGGTGAGCTTCAAAAACCTTGGAAAAAGTATGCCGTCACTTACTGCCACAGAGTTTTTCATGTCAGCCATGGCAGAGGTGAACTCGCTGAAGTGCAGCTCGGGGCAGTAGACCAGAGGGTGGGCCAAATCTCCGCTGCTGCGGCCGGCACGCACGCATGCAACCTCCCACTTCTCACTGTTAGTCATCACCGCAGCATGGTACTTCCCTGTGGAGATCCCCTGCAGGTAAAAACAAACAAACAACAAAGCTTATTAGAAGGTCAAGTTGATTGATGGTTTTCGTCTTTTCAGGAGCTGTGTTGGTTAACATGTTTGATATCTATTCTCCTGTTATAGGGGTTGAATCGCCAGTTCATACTTGCCATGTAAGGTTGAACAAAACTATCACCCACCTGTGCCCCAGTCAGTGTGGCCATGTCCAGAATAATATCAGCAGAGAGGTCTTTTCTGGCATACACCACTCCATCAGCCAGCACCAGCCTGCCCTCGGCATCAGTGTTATTGATCTCCACTGTCCTTGAAAATAAAAACACACAAAAAGACACTTTTTTTTTAAATACCAGACCCCATATTTATTCCTGTTGATTTGTTATAGCTTGTAAAATAATATCCATCATGGTGTAAAAGACTGATGAGTCACAAGACTAATCCGTTCAGCTCATGACAGCACATACCGTGACAGCACTTTCAAATCATGTCATTTGATACATTAGTATTAAAGAGAGTCTCACTTTCCAGAGTAGAGAGTATGGATATCATCAGGCCGTGTGGCTGTAGGTCCAACTGCATTCTCTGCGAGGCAAAACACTGCATGGAGGTTGTCTTTAAAGCCCTGGCGCAAAGAGAGGATATTCTGATTAAAACAACTCAAGAGCTGCAGAGCGACAGAACAGCTGGGACAGATGATCCGAAAGCTCACCTGTTTGATGGTAGCTCTGTATGCTCCCAAAATGGCAGCCGCTCCACCACAGTCTCTCTTCATTCCTGGCATTGAGGTCTACAAGAAAAACATTTATTTATGAGGAAAAGGGAATTTAATTTTGGATTTTAAAAGGCTGCACTTCTAGCATTTATTGACCAGAAAAGGACCCAGCAGAGTCAGAAAAACTTATCAGAAAACCATATCCCAAGTGTTCTATTTGCATAAGGCACTACATAAACTGGTGTATGCAACAGCAGCTATGTGCAAACAGATAACTGATACAAGAATAAAAGCTGAACACGCGCGTTTCAGTGTCTGAGGTTTTTAATCACTTCTCCAGAGGAAAAACAGGATTACCTTTCCCTTGATGCTGAGTCCTCCGGTGTCGTACACGATGCCCTTGCCCACCCATGCAATGGTTTGGGTCGCACCTACTGGAGTGTGGCTCAGGACCGCCAGTGCAGGAGGATGCTCTGCTGCCTTTCCCACTCCATAGATACCTACAAGGTAGAGAGAGAGAAAACAGATACATCTAAATGTATATTTACAACAAAAAACATTGAGATAAAAAGGCCAGATACAGTAAATCAGTTTTTCCAACAGGTCAGATGTCATGTTATAAGATGATCACAGACAATGTACCTCCAAATCCTCTGTGTTTCAGCTCTTCTCCACGAATGATCACTGGAGTTATTCCAAGCTCAGCTCCCACAGCTTTGATCTCCTGAAACAGAAATGAATGTTTGTAGCGGGGGCAGCTGAAGCAAAATAAAAAGAACCATGTTCTTGTTCAAGGGTCAACATTTCCAAAAGAGATGCAGTTTACTTACATCCAAGAAGTGATCTGTATTCATCTCATTGCATGGTGTGTCCACAATACGAGCTGCCATCCGCACTCCATGAGCAGCGTTAGCGAGACACTGAAAATAAAAAATAAGTCTTAAGCTATGGCAGGCTGCAGTTCAAAAACATGCTATTTCTAAGTATACAGTAGTAGTCACATTTTAAGGACTTCAAAAGGTTGTGTTAAAAAAAAAAAAGGACCATCATCAAGAAGTACCTCAAGTTGTCCGACATCCAGAGCACTGTTCTCCTCCCCGACAATCATAATCTCCACGGTGACGTGTTTCTTCTCAGCCCTGCGTGAAGAAGTGGTGCGGCGAGAGAAAATGGGGAAGGCCCTGGCGATTGCACAGGAGGACGCAAACACATCTGAACGCTCACACACCATCTGGAGAGGGAAGTGACACTCATATCAGACACAAGTCACACAAGCTGCCCTTACACTGGATGAGACGGATTCAAGTGAGGGAGTTTTAGGCCCCTTCACAAATGCACTGCAATCCTGAAATTGTCAAAACAAGGGGAAAAACTGTATGCAGGGTTCTTACACCTTTTCCAAAGTCAAATTCAAGCACATTTCAAGCATTTTCAAGGTGCATTTTCAAGCTTTTCAAGCATCTTACAGCTGTTGTAAATTACATATTTATATACACATACTTATATTCAAATGATTATTTCCCTACCTCACATTAAATCAGATGTTCTTTATGCTATAAACAACCAAATGTGTGTTTCATAATAGCATTCTACATGAGGATGAAAAATTAAAAATGTTAGAAAAGAAAACTAAGTTTAATATTTCAAAATGTGTGACCCATCTGTACGTAGACTGGGCATCCCATATAACCTGGCTGAGCCAATATAAAACAATCAGCCAAATAACTTTTCAATATATTATTGATTACTATTTTTGAGGTACTTTTAGGTTGGCAGTAAACACAAGTCAGAGGTAAATGGTGTACTTTGACTCCACTACATGTATTTAATACCTTTAGTTACTTTACAGATGTGGATGAATGATGTGAAATATAATCAAGTGTTAAATCAGACTTTAGTTCCACCTGGAGTAAATTCACAAGCTACTCTGTAGTATACAAAGTCATTCAAACTAGCTGCAACTTTACCAGCTTTGATAACACTTTCATGATCAATCATTATAAAACATATCATATACAATTATTAGGGATGCTCCGATCGCCAATTTTGGAGCCGATCGCCGGAATCAGTATCGGCCGATACCGATATCGCTCTCTTTTCCTCTCTCCCCCTCTCTCTCTCTCCTGACAGCCCGTCAGTATCTCCTGCAGCTCACTGATCCAGTAATGAGCGACCCGACAGTGAAGAATAAATATATTTATAACTAGTTTAGCTTGTTCCAGAGGTAGATAAAAAAGCTAAGTGTGTTAGGTCTAACTCTTAATGTGTGTTCTGCTCCGCTCACCGGTCCGTCACAGCGGGTGGAGCTGCAGGATTTCTGCTTCACACACACGTTGCATACCGCTATTTTATTGTCATTTTCGGACACTTAAAATACTGCCAGACTAGTGAAGCCATTTTGGCGAGCTTGTTTTGCCGCGCACAGAGAAAAGTGTCATGTATTTTACATGCAACGATAGCCTAATCTAAAATGCTCTACGGCGTACCTTTCGTGTGGTGTGTGGCTCGTCAGCGCAGACTCTCGCATCGTTATTGTTGCACACTTTGCAGGAGGCTACTCTTGGGCTTCGCTTGACCCTCGTCTTAGCCATGGCTTGTATTTGTCTTCTGCTAGCCAACGCTCGTTGAAACGGCAACCTCCTGGCATACTGTCATTCTCATCAGAATGCCCAGGTCACACACGTAACAAAAACACTTGCCGGTCACGCGCATTGCGCGGGAAGGCCGGAGCGGAGCTGTTTTATGTAAAAGCGAAGCAATTAAGCGCGCTCCGACTTCTTTATTTTCTTTTAATCTAAAAAGCGAGGTAAAGCATTTACAATTTCAAGCACTTTATCCCAAATTCAAGCACCATTCCCTAAATTCAAGCACTTTTCAAACCTTGAAAACACCTCGTACAATTTCAAGCATTTTCAAGGATTTCCAGCACCCGTACGCACCCTGTGTATGCAATCAATCATCAAAACATAATCTGTCTGTGTAATGTACGGAAAAGAAAATAGAGCCACGTGTACTCTGGGCATTCATCACGAGGGAGTGGGCAGGTTGATGACCTTTCTATCATGGATGGCGTAAAGCCAAGAAGAAATCAAACGTCCAAAAGTCAAGAATGGTGATTTACTTGGATGGAAACTGGAATGTCTAACTGGAGAAACAAAGAGATTCGGAAACTTGTCTCAGTAAGGGTTAAGCGTTTTGTCAGACAAATTTAAGGAGCCGCATGAGACCTGGTTGTTTATGGTGACTATGTGTGCGTGGGGCCAATGTGGACCTGGTTCTCCGGAACGCATATGAGAAAACGGCTATAAAAAAGGATGGTACCCAGTTGATCCAGCCTAAAGTCCTCCCTGACGTCTTGGGTGAGCTGAGAAAAGGAAAACAAACCCTCATCCTATAAGGTTACAGGCAAGAACAAATACAATTCCTTAGATACTGACCACAATACAGCGGTTGTTTCCTCCAGGCAGGCTGGAGCGAACCAGGCGGGACACAAAGTTGGCCGAAGACTGGCTGTTGTGCCTGCTGACACGTGGAGGCAGGGCAGCCACCGCAGCATGGTTCAGGTACAGAGGGCAGCTGTCCGTGGGGTTCGGGGTCAAACCACTGAGAGCCGCCTGCCAGATCTGAGAAAAGAGACAGTGGAGCAGAAATACATTAGTTGACTAAAGGATTGTTTCAGAGTAAACTTAAACTTGAAAAGGCAAATATGGACCACTAATATAGAAAAGAAAGAGATAAGTAGAACATTGTATTAGTCATTCATGGCTTTCTTTTGGCTTTGGACAATTGTTTGGGGCAATTAAACAATTTTTGTGGAATAAACAGCGTATCTAAAAATAACTGGCACATTGATTTATATTGAAAAATAATACCAGTTGGCTCTATATCCATTTGAATGTTAAGTTGTACCATCTTTCTGTATATTAATGTTAAGGATAAGAAAGTCAGGTACCATACGTTATAAACCATGTGGAAAATCAAAAAGCAGAACTATAATGTTGGTGAATCATTGTCAGAGGAAATTGAGAAGAACAGACACTCTCTTTAGACTTTATAGACTGGCTGTCACCTTTGAACAATTACCTTTGGAGGACTTTGCACAGGGTCTAGACCGGTCAGTGCCACCCAAAACAAGCTTTCACTCATTGTACTTAGTGTACATTTGGTGATGTAGTTGTTCTTTACCAGAGTACATTTTTTTAACATGTAATGCTACTTTTTACTCATACGCCACTATGTTTTAGATGCAAATATTAATTAATTTCAGTTACTTGGTAAATTTTGATTATTTATACAAACTACAAAACAACTAAATGCATCATTAGGCATTAATGTTAGGCTACCAAGCAGTATACAAAGTAATTAAAATTGGCCCCATATTTACCTATGGTAAAGAAAATGTAGGAGACTGTGCACATAAAAGGCAACACGAATTTGAATTCAGTAATATTATATATAAAAATATAAATCTGAAATAAGCTTAACTCGAATAATATTACAATCTGAAACCAGATTTACGAGATAATAAGTAGCCTACTTACTTTCGGTTCTCCAAATACATTTTGTTCTTTCCACTTTTGCAGAGTGTGTATGCATTTAAATGTAGTAATTGGTACTTTTAAAGTAAAATGTCTTAATTCCTCTTCCACCAGTGCTTTTTGTTATATCTAATTGTCTAAATACCTGGTTCACTCGCGTTATATTCCTGGGAATAGTTAACCCTAGCGTGTTGTTCACGTTACATTCATTCAACTAGATTAGCATAGCGCTAACATTAGCTGTCACCAAACCAATCATCTTCATTGTTACCTCTTTGCTAACGACCGGCTGCAGTTTCCCTTTGATTTGGCTCCAGGAGACCTTCTGCAGGTTGCTCTGCTGTCCGATGATGAGCACCGGGCGGCTCTGGGGCTCGGAGTCCCCGGCTGAAGCCTTAAACTCCAGCACCACGTTCGCCATCTTTAGGAGACAGCTAAGGGTAGCTAGCTGATGGTAAAGAAGACCAACTGCCGTTCACTGTGCAGAGGACCGGTGACGGCGGCTGAGCGTTTCTGCAATCTTTATCTACCTCTACCGGCAACAAGAAGCAACTACATCAAGATATAAATGAAGCAAAACCCCTCTTCAGAATCAAGAATCTGGTTTATTGCCAACTAGTTTCTCACATAGCCTACATGGAATTTGATTCAGTGTCTTGGTGCATTACTACCTGAATGTGTACTTCTGTAAATTGTGATAATTTTGTATTTAAAAAATACTATGTGCATGCCTTTTCTTTTTTTTTAATATAGTGTTTTATTTTCTTCGTCTCTATACTTTGCTGTTACAACGTAAATGTCCCTTTTGTGGGACGAATGAACGAATTCCGATTCTGATAACATAAACAAAGTAAGATAATTTAAAATGGAATAAAAATGTCAAATAATGGATTCAAGCAAGAAATATACATTTCCAAAAACTACTGTACAAATATGTACAGGTAAGATTAACATAAAAGAAAATACAATTTAAAAAAAGGATAAATTAATATGAACAGTATTAAAAGTTGAATTAAAAGTTCAGGAGCTGTGCCCTATCAAACTTCATTGTGAAGAAACTTGCAAAGGTCCAAAGCACAAACTTAATTTTTGCAGGAGTACGTTACGCTGTGAAGAATTTGATGTTTTCATGTATTTACATTTTTCATTTTTATAGCAAGTTAAGAACTAAACCAGTTTTGTTTACCAGATGAATTTAGAATCTACTCTGACTATTAGTTTGATCTTAGCCATAGTCATATGTAAAACTGGGCGTGCATTCAGAGGAATGTGGGTTTTAGGAAATATTTACACGTGTATTGATATAAAATGACCCATGTGTAAGCCGCAAATCTGTTCAGCAATCAGCAAAACGTTATGCTAAACACTATTAGAACCTGTCTCAATCAGACAAACTCAATTATCATATATTATATGTAAAAAACAAGCATATAAGGGGTTTCACTTTTTGATCATACAAATGCAGAACCAGCTTGTTGTTGGGTGTATTTGTAGATCAGCTGTGTGTATATACAGTCATGGAGCTTAAAAGGGAAAATGGAAAGAAAATTCTGCAACAAACCATCTTGTGGTAGTGATTTATTTATGTTCTCTCATATCAATGCCATCCACAACTAGATCACAGAGTATTCAAGCTGGGAGAGACACCCTGAAATCTCAGTAAAAAGTACAGAAGACACACAGTTTGTGAAAGAGCACTTGCTAAAGACAAACATTAATCATTTCACTGTGCTTGCATTTAGAAATGTCAAACCATTTTCTCACAGTAATTCCATTCAAATGAAACAAAAAAAAAGCCCCAACTGATTTAGTGTCTCATGAAAGGTAACGTTGTAAAATGCACTTTAAAATGTTGTATATTTGCATAAACCTAAGGACACTATGTAAACTTTAATGTCGGAGTGCAAATAGTTTAAAGCCATCTTTAGATAACATAGCACATTTTACTAGGAAAAAATACAATTTAGCAAATATCTAAGTCTGTGTGTGCACAACTGTCAAATTATAAAAGGAAACAAATATTGAAAGCAAAGCTCAATTTATTGCTGATTTATTTAAAAGGTGAAAAACTATTAATAAATAAACGATAACTGTGGGCGTTCCCAAAAATGTTCTTCTCCTCATGTTAAATGCTGTTATGTATTCAATAATATACTTTTATATTTCTTCGTGTTTCACAGTGATTGTTAGAGTCCTTAGATGCAAGTGGTTTATTTTCCCAAAGTTAACTGCACACTGACAATATTATAATGACATTAGATTTACAAAAAATTGCTGAAACATTAAATTGACAGGTTGACCTACTAAATATTTAATTGGCCATTTGATTATAAACATTTTTAGTAATTTGTCAAACAAGAATGTTCTGGTTACAGTTTCTTAAAGATGTTGGATGTGCTGCTCTTGTTATTTTGAAATCCATGGAAATTAAATATCTTTGGGTTTTAGACTGCTGACGAAGAAAACATTAATTTAAAAAGGTGTCAACTTGGGTTCTTAAAACTTAATGTGAACTTAATCATGAAAAAAATAAACTATTCAAAACTAAATCAATAATGAAATGAATCTCTAGTTAAAGACATTGAAAAAGAAAATGAAATGACACATTTGCTAAAGATTGTTAAGCTCAGAGACTGAAATATATTTTTTTCCTGTGCTTTCAAATGGTTCATATCGACATATTTAATATCTGGCTTATGTGATACTGCAGTCATACATTTGTTATGCAACATATAGCTCAAATATGCTTTATATTGCACCCTAAGGAGGTGTGTGGGTTGTGCACATGTGTTCGGATCAGGGGGGTCACAGGTTCAAACCCCATTGCAGTCAGCATGTCGTTGTGTCCCTGGGCAAGACACTTCACCCCAAATTGCTCCTTTGGGGATTGCCCACAGTATTGAGTATGTAAGTCGCTTTGGATAAAAGCATCTAACAAGTGACATGTAATGTAACCCACAGTACAGTACGCAGACCTGAGGTTAATTCTCAATAATTTGGGATTTTCAGGATAACACAATTAGAAAGGTTAACTTCATTTAAACGTAATTTTAAGAACTATATATACACTAGACTCTGTAAACTATATAACTACTACTATAGACATGCTTGTGACTTTACTAAACTGAAATGTAACTTGTATAAATCATGATAATATTAGAATAATAAGGTTTTTCATATCAGCTTACTGTCTGCTACACTCACGATAGGATAGAAAAATAGTCCTATTAATTGCATAAAAGGTTTAAAGCACCTATTTTTCTTTTTAAACAAGTATATTAGGAAGCAATGTCTAATATGCAAAATAGCTCTTACTGACAAACACACACACGCAACACTAACACACAACCATCCGAGTACTCTTGCACGTGTATCATCTGAAGACAAACATGTAGATTTCAGGCTTTGCTGGTTAACGAGACTTTGTCCCAATACTGACAGCGGACGGGGTTCAAGTGGAGAGGATGTGTCGTGTGCTCATGTGAAAACTCCCTCTCATTCAAATGGTTAGTACTTCATTAAAATAACATGCGCGTGGGCTAAACTCAACTCACGTGGCAGATATATAATCTAAGAGGTCTGCTAATATTAGTAATGTGTAAGACTAGATTTTAGAGAAGCAATCGATGCTGCTAGTGCATAAGCACATAATGTGCAGGCAGCTGTCATCACGTGCTAGAGAAGAAGCGAGGCATGATCCTGGACACGTGTGTGTGTGTGTGTGTGTATAGACTTTGTGTTACACCAGAGTGAAATTTCACTCCGTTGTACACCTGTCCCAGCCCACAGCCCACTAAGGCCTCTTGCGTAATTACATTAGAAGCTTATCGTATGATATATAGACATGTCTTTGATCATTCTTGCCGACTTTGATTTTGCCGCTTGTGTTAACATGCATATTTGTTAACATAAGATGGACATTAATATTTTAGCTAACATGATGCCAAAATAACAGGCTTTTTCCAACCCTTATTAGAGTTCACAGCCCCAATTCTGTGAACAGAAAAATGTTGGTTGCGGTTGTTTCTGTTGTTTCCGTCCCTTACACACACACAGCGACACACACACACACACACACAGCGACACACACACACAGCGACACACACACACACATACACACACAAGGGTGGGTACATTTCGAGGCTTGTTGGTGTTTTTCCTGACGTCTACTGACCAGACAAAAAGGTTTGAAAGAATAAGCCGAAAGATCCAAATAGACTTGGTTTCAAAGTTGCACTATAAAGCTCTGGTGTGGGAACATTTTGGGTTTAAGCTAAGGAATGAATTATTCTCTATACCCCCGTGCCAAATGTTCTATATTAATTTAAGTGCAATTTTGTATGCTGAGCCCGAGAGTCAATTTCATTTTTTTTTTGGGTTGTGTGGTTTTAATTAGTTTATGTTTGAATTCTTAATTCTCAATTTACTCCATTGCTCTTTAAAATGGGATACTTGCATTATTATGCTTTTATATCGTCATTGTATAAGTGGTATAAAATGGTCTTAAAATGACAATTATATCAGCGATATCTTGTAAAGCAGCAGTAATTATGGTGACATGCCTACAGGACATGCGGCTGCTGTGTTAGGCGTGACAGAGGTTACCGCTGGACCCACAGCTGGCAGCGATGCCGCAGTTCTTCAGGATGGGGCTGAAATGAGAGGCTGTACCGGCGCCGGCCTCTCTGGGGGGGAAAGGCTTCATGGTGGAGAGGATCAGGGCGAGACAGTCCGCCACGTTCTTGTTTGGGGCGCAAGCAAGAGCCGGTGTGTGGCCTGAAGAGGGACAATGGGTAAAGAATTATCATTCAGTACTTCAGAAACAAGGACTGCTTTGGTATTGTATTATATAAATATTCCTGCTTACCTTCCTGATCGACAGCCATCACCGCTGCTCCTCTGCTCAATAACACCTGCACTACAGTGGCCAGGCCTTTCCTTGCTGCTATGTGAAGAGGCCTGCATGAGAATAAAAGACAAGTATTTCATATTTGAAAAAGAATAGCACATGCAGTGTAACTGGGGTCAATGGCAGGCGAGTCAACATTCAAATCATGGACACATTTCCTTTGATGATATCAGGGTGCCTTTGTTTATTGTACAAATGTATTTCAGAGAATAAACATCTGCATCTTGGATGAACAGCTTGCAGCTTTTATTAGGGTAACCTTTAGTACATTATCAGAATGACTGTAAAATTAAGTCTCAAACATTTATTTTTCCAATGATGTTATAACTTGACCTTTAACACAAAACACTATATAACGTAAGTTATACTTGACTTCTGAATTTATACTGGATGATATCCTTTTTTGTTTTCCAATTTTAAAATAACAGGGGGCACGTATAGCACTTCAGGACGACTCACATTTGGAGAGTGTTGTTTGCTGCATTTATGAGGGAAGAGTCGTTGATCTCTCCGAGGATCAACAGGGCACACATCTCATGACCCTGCAGAACGAAACACATTGTACAATATTATTAAAGTGCATTATATCACTTAGAACAAACTGCCTGGAATGTTACACGTTGTTAATGCTGTACATTACAATTACAATTGTATCAGATCTTTTATTTAATTTGCATTAATTACTAAGTTTCACACAATTCAATGTTATAGCATAACAACACGATAAGCAACTGAAGGGTACATTCAATTGTACTAAATAAAGAAATATCAATGAGATTTTGATCACATTTTAAACACACATGCAAAATGAATTGTTGTGCCATTTCAAGCATGCAGTGCATCTTTATGTGTGTGTATGTGACCTTGCTGCAGGCTAAGTGAAGGGCAGTGTTATTATTGACATCCACCAGCGTCAGGTCTGGCTTCGCTTTGTGCAGCAAGAACTCTGAAATGCAGAAAATAAGAAACCTTTCACAACAACCACAGACCTTTCAAACATATAGCAACTTACAATCAGTGCAACAGGAGAACACATTTATATAGTGTTTTAAAGCAGTGAGGACTGTGAGGGTCAAAACAGTTCACACATGCTAAAAGGAAATATAACAATACCTTTGTCTTTGTGCAATCAAGGGCTTGAAAATAAATGACAGTAGAGGGAACATGGATGAAAGAGGGACCTTGAGTATCTCCTGTAGAAAACATCGTGTCGTTTTGTCCTCTCCGTGAGCTGAAAATGCCCCTGATGCGTTTTGAGGTTTAGGATACACATTAAGACCACACTCATTTCAATCACATACCAACAGCCTGAGTCTGTCCACAGTCAGCAGCAACCATCACTGCAGAGCATCCACAGAGATCCACAGCGTTGATGTCCGCTCCCTGATCCAGGACCAGCTGGAGCCCGGCAACGTTTCCTGAATGAGCAGCCGCATGCAATGGGGTCCTGCATTTAAATAACATGTGAAATTTAGGGCTGCAGCTGTCATTCTCATGATCAATACATCTCCAATTATTTTATAGATTAATTTATAAACTAAAAAAAGTGTCCATCTCAGTTTCAATGTCAAGGGAATGTCTTCAAATGTTTTGCTGTCAGTAAAAAAAAAGAAAAAAGACTTTCAGTTTAATATGATATAAAAGAGAAAAAAAGCAAAGCTTGAGATTTATCGCAGCGTCCACACGGCGGCGTGCGTTGAAGCTTGCCGGTGGGCGTGTCTGAAACTCGACCAACAACCAATCACATGAATCTCCCGCCCCGGACACACAAGCACGCGGTTTGATTGGCTAGAGCTTGTACTGGCATATGATTTGATTGGCTGACGCTTCCGCCGAAGCTTCAAAAGTTGAACATTGCTCAACTTTTTGAAGCGAAGCGACGCTCCCACAATGCAGTTCGGTAAAGTGTGATGTCACCCCATTCAAAGTGAATGGGCAGAAACGTTGAAGCTTCAACGCACACGCCGCCGTGTGGACGGGCCGTAAGAGGCTGAAAAAAGCACTTTCTAACATATTCTGATTTAGGCAAAATACAAAATCTAAATTATCAATACAAGTTTCTCTTAACCAATATTTTCTCAAAACAGACCAAATGGACAGCAATAATCACGTACAGCCCTCACGATTTAGTTGCAAATGCACAACCGTTGTTTGCAAAATGCATGCCTGAATTGAAAATAAACGTTGACAATCATCGTAGACTGATCCATAACTGCAGTGCTGCATTAAATAGATGTGTTATGATTAGTAGAGCTCAACTCAGAGCAGAACCCACCTTCCTTTGGCATCGCTAACTTTAACTAATTGAGGGCCAACAGTCTTCACTATCAGTCCAGCAGCAACGTCATGTCCATTTACTCTGTGTGGGAAGAACAGAGGTGTTACATTTAGAAAAAAACACATTCAATGTATTGTACATAATACATAAAAAACATATGTATGAGCATTTATTTTAAATACAGTACTCACAGAGCACAGTGCAATGCAGTGAAGAAATGTCCCTCCTGGTTGCTAAAAAGCTTGTTTTCAAGTAAAATCTGTAAACATCCTTCATGCCCTATAGACAAAGGAAACAAATAGATAAATCATCCATATTCAAATCTAAAAAAAGAACGGTAATACAGAAATAGTTATGTTTTTTGTGATGGTCTTTTTAGATAGAACGTTTTTACATGAGTTGTAGTGACCACTAAACTGCAAAAATGAGACTTTGATTATATTGCATGAGTTGTTTGAGCGTTTGCTCTGATGTCTCACCGTAGTGAGCAGCCCAGTGTGTGGGCGTGTAGCCTCTGAAGTCCAGTATGGAGTCCAGAGGGTCAGCTTTCACAGCAGCCTTCAGCAGAGTCCGGAGCAGCTCTGTGTGGCCGCGGGACGCTACGAGGTGCAGCGGGGTCCTTCCCTGAGAGTCTCTACACAGCGCAGAGGCCCCGTGCTCCAACAGAGCAGAGACACAGTCCTCACTGCCCAACATCGCCTGCAGCGGGAAGACACAAGATATGAGGGGAAAAGAAGACAAACGACTCTCCAAAGGGGCAGGGCACTTGTTTTTGTTATTAATTGCCATAATAAAATGATAGGACATGTACAGAAGCACAGCAAGTACACCTACAGCTCTGTGTAATGCAGTGAAGCCCTTCTTGTCCGCAGAGTCAGCCTTTGCTCCTTTCTCCAACAGGATGTGGACACAGTCGGTGTGACATCCCAGAGCTGCAAGCATGAGAGCCGTCCTGCATATGGCAAAATTAATAATTATTGTCTGCTGTGAGGACGTTGGAAAATAAATCCCAGGAGAATGTGGTTACTACAAGTCATTTGAAATGCATATTATTGTTGTCTCTTCAATTATTTTACACATTACAACTATAGCATAAACAAGGCAAAAGTAATTCAATTTAAGGATAAACTAAATAACTGTATGGTGGACATGAACAAGGAAATACAGACTCTAAGGCGGTGCTTTTAAACATTGGGGACGGAAAGAGAGATGCCTGCACTTCAAACTGTTGAACAATGGATGACTTTCTGAATAACAGTGTTTTGATTGTGTCAGAAAAGTAAACATTGATTGGAATAACCAGATTGCATTATTAGTGTGTAGCTTTCAATTAGAAATACTTTGTTAAAGTTGCAGTCAGCAATTCTAATTCAATACAGTTTGTCAAATTCAGAGAATACCTCCTCACAGACCACTAGCTGTCTGTTCTGTATGCAAACTAAATCTGGTGTTTACACAGGCTTGTAAAAGAATCATAATGTATATAAACACTGTATATGTCAGGTGTTTATCTAACTATCCAACGATGACATATTAAAGCAATACATATGAAGTGACTCACTTTCCCTGTGTATCAGGACTGTCGATGACTTCAGCACTATGTTCTTCATTGACCAATAACAGCAAACAGTCCATGTGGCCTTCAGCAGCTACACAGGAGGAAACAGTAACAAATCAGATTCACAAAGATTCATCACATAGAGGGTAGACGTTAAAACATAGAAATGTAAATCATTATTTCTTAACTATAAAACATTACTTTTCACTCTCATTACACACACCTGCAGCATGGAGAGCCGTCCACTTGCGTTTCTGCTCCTTCAGGGAGAAAGAGGCTTGGTGCTTCAGCAGCACCTCCACACACGGGGCAAAGCCTCTCTGAGCGGCCAGGTGGAGGGCCGTCCTGCCTTCAATGTCCCGCACATCCAGACTCACAAGGGTCTCACAAAGCAAACGCAGTGCATCACAGTGGCCATAATACGCCTGTGACAGCAGAATGCATACAACAGTATTGTTAGAGGCTTGTAAACGTAAAGTCTTAGTTTAAAAGTAATAACTGATCTGAGTGCTACTCACAGCTAAGTGCAGAGGACTGACTGGGATATTACTCTCAACCTCTTCTAGACAGTTGAATGAAATCTCCAGGAGCTGCATGAGGGGGACAAGAAGAAACATCTCACACTTAAACTACTGTTGGTTGAGCCTGCAATCACTTAACAATCATTTAAAAAATAATCTAAATCAAAGATACCACTGACCAGTTCCAGGTGCTGTTTGTTCCCATAAGCTGCTGCATAGTGGACGGCGCTGTAACCCTTACTGTTCTTCAGAGTTGGGTTTGCCCCGCTGTCAAGCAAGAAATCTAAACACCTAAACACACAGAGCATAAGATTAAGAAAGGTGCTAAGGTAGGCAGACAAAGACAAATGTAAAAAACGATATAGTAATCATAATACACATTTTTAACTCTGATGTTATTCTTAATTTGTTTTGAAATAATGAAAACTAAGGTTTGCTCGGTTACAACATGTCAACACAAATGTTAACATCATTCTAGATACAATAACAATGATATATAATGTGTTCTTTTACTTTATGATTACCAATATGTGTGATAGGATACGAATGATGACTTACAGAGAGGCTTCGTGTTCCTTTCCCTCACTGTGTTCAGACTCAGAGCTCGTCTCCCCCCCTGTTGAAAAAAAAGATGGATCATTTAAAAACTCACCTAGATGAATTGAAGATTAACAATGAAGAACTCTCCACATGATGTTGTACTTGCCCCTCTGAGCAAAGTGAGTAAAACATTGAAATGACAGTAAAGGTCCCTCACCCACAAAAGGTGTGTGAAGCGGCGGCGTAGTGCAGGGGGCTGCAGCCCGTCAGGTCCAGCTCATTGACGGCAGCGCCGGCTCTCACCATGGAGATGGTGCACTGGCTGTTCCCGTTAGCTGCAGTGTAGTGCAGAGGAGATCTGCACGGAGCAACAGGGAGACAGACAGCTGTGATATCAGGTAACACCAAAACAGATTTAAAAGTTTTAGCAACAGATAATCAGCTATACTTACCGCCCCAAATGATCCTTTACATCCAGATCGGCATTGGCACTATTCAACAGCAAGTTCAGACAGTCTACATTTCTGTTGCAAGAGGAAAGAGTAGTCAGTAGTGTTTCAAGCAAATACATCCCAATTTAAGCAGAGCTAATAGCCAAAAATATACATATAATGTTGGAAAAGACATCACTGGGTTTTAACAGAATGAAAAGACATGCAAACATTTCAAATGTTGATTCAAAATGTAAATATCAGCATAATGAATGAAACTCTGTATTAATAAAACATACAGGGGATAGGCTTTATTATATAGTGACAATGTGAGCATGTAATATATTGATGTTTTTTTTATTTTATTTTAATCTCATTTTAAGAAAAACTATCCCATATTATAAAGAACACAACACTACATGCATAAGGTCTAAACTAATGTAAAAGTTTCAAAATATTTCGATTTATCATAGTCTCTGTAACATCATAGCGGTATTCTTTGTGCAAACTAAGCCTCTGTCTGCCACAAATCCTGGCATGTTAACTGTTAATTAGTAAATGTATAGTGTTTGAGAATAATATATAATATCCCAATACTCAAGTGTATTCATATTTTCATACACCCTTAATGTGTGTGTGTGTTGGCTCACCCTCCAGAGGCAGCTGCATGCAGGCAGGTCCTTCCATGGTCGTCTAAGACGTTAATATCATCCCCTGCTGACGGCACTTGAGACGGCATGATGTAAAACTGGCCTGAGCGATACACAACCAACAATAAGACTTTGTTAAGTGGAAACATATTGAGTCGTGTTAGTAATACAAAATGTAAAAAAGGAGATGATAAATTAAGGAGTTTATAGACTCAAAGAGATTCTCACCATTGGACAATAATTTTCGACAGCAGTCCGGATATCCGTAGAGCGCTGCCAAATGCAGTGGAAGCATCCCATGAATACCCTGTCTTTGAAGATCATTAAAAAGATGATTTAGTATTACATTTTGTATTTGTTGGTTTGGAGCATTAACAGTGAATGTGCAGCTTAATCAGTTCTCTCCCAAAATACAAAATCATGTGTATCAAGCTGTGTAATAATGCTTATCATAAACAAAACCAAAGACAAACATGGAAGACTCTCAGGTTTGGCCTTACTTGGTCTTATCAGCACCGTTGGTCAGCAGAGTGCTGATCAGCAGCTCCTGACCATATCTGGCAGCAACATGAAGAGGGGTGTTTCCAAACATATCAGCGCAGTCGATCTCCCCACCTGTGTGCAGAGGAAGATGTGAGTATATAATGGGTTTCATTTGAAGACGTGCTATGATCATTCAAGTTGGAGTATATTGTGAGAGAGAACTGTGCTTGGCTTTGTTACCATTTTGGATCAGAATCTGAGAGCCTGTGAAGCGCCCGTGCATTGCGGCCATATGCAGAGGGCTTTTCCCTTCTTTATTCTGTCAATAGAGAATAAGAAAACATGTTTAGTTAAAAAAAATGGCATATATACTTACAATCTGTACATGTTCATTGAATCCTCTAAACATTGACTAAAATCCAGTATCACTTAACACTTTCTTTGAAGCCCACATTTACTAACATGTACAGTCCTCGACAATCAACTGAAGCAGGACTCTTTGTGCTTTAATATTCCATCCATTATGGTAAGTTGTCATTGAAAAGTAAAGTGCAGTACATCTTGATATAATGCATGTGTCATCTTAACATTTTTATTGATGTAGTAAATGAATTGTGATGCAATTAATTGTATTAAATAATCTATTAAGCATCTTAAGTGATGCACGTCATGATGCACATCTTTATTATTTGTAATGCTTATAATGATAATTCATTATAAGCCTCATCTATAATGTGTTATGACTGTTAGTATATAAGAAAGTATGTTTATAAGTGTAAGTGGTCCCTCGATTCAATAAAGTCAGACTGAAGCACTCCTTTGTGCACCAGTCAATCCTAACAGTAAATACAGAGCTACATCCCAGATCAAATGCACGCTAAAGGGTCTTTGAGCATGTTTTCTCTCAGTGATTGTTATGTTAAATGTTTTTTATTTTTCATGTATTGTGTCTTGATATTTGTCCATGTTGATGTTACAAATGGAGCTGCTGTGATGCAAGTCACATTTCAGACTTGATCTGACCAGTAGAGTATTATCGTATTATCGTCGTATCGTAAACAAGAAGCATTTCATATGCATTGTGAATCCCTATAGAAGCCCGCACAATGCAGGATAGAAGTGGTCTCACTACCTGCACGTTGACATCAGCACCATTGTTAATTAGCAGCTCGAGACACAGCACCCCGCTGGAAGAGGCAGCAGACAGGTGTAGTGGCGTGCTGCCATGGTGGTTGGGCAGATTGATGTTGGCACCACAGTTGACCAGCTCAGAGGCCACAGCGTCCTGCCCCGTGTGACAGGCCATGTGCAGCGCTGTGCTCCCAAAGGTGTTAGGTTCATCAGTCTGAGAGACAGAGGAGGAAAACAATTGATTAGTATTAGAAGAAAAAACCCTGGTGATTTGAAAGCACGAGACTATGAAACACTGAAGTGTATTATCAGTGTAAAGTCAAGGGACCAAGAAAGGCCTGGAGGAATCCGTAAAAGGAGGAAAATATAAGTCTGATTTGAAAGAGTTGGTTTGTTGAAAAAAATACACATTCATATAAATGCACTTCACCCCTATGCAGCAGTGTTAAGCACATTTTAAGATATGGTTCTTTACAGAGCATACAGTACTGATATGACTGAGAGACTTTACCTCCACCACCAGTCTCAACAGGTATTTGACCATGTCTAACTGTCCACTGGCAGCTGCAGCATGGAGCGGAGTGTAACCGCGTTTGTCCTTGCACGTCACATCCGCACCGTTTGACACAAGAAGCTTCACAACATCCACATGTCCTGAAAGAAAAGCTTAACATTAACCACAAGTCTCTACCATGCACATACATAACACAACACACCATCTTTCCTATTGGCCTGTTTGCAGACTTGGCTTACGAGACATACATGCAAATAAATGTGTGTCTTTCTGTCCAATGTCACCACTTACCGAGGTATGCAGCCCAGTGAATTGCCTGCCTTTCCTTCTTATCTTTGGCACTCACAGTGGCACCTTTTTTAAGGAGCAAGTTCACCATCTGCAGAAACATAATAAAATGGTTACTACAGTTGCAACAACTAGTCGCAATCAATTAATCAGTTGACAGAATATCTATCCAAAGTCCTTGTTTGCAGCCATTATGATAACTATCAAACATAGAGGATAGATAGTGACTTGGGACATGGAAAGAAATCAGGAGGAAGACAAACAACTTCACCTCTTCATGGCCGCTGTGCGCTGCGTGATGCAGTGGCGTCCTCCCTGACCTGTCAGCAACATCCATGCTGCACATGTGTGGTATCAGAGCTTCGGCACAGCCTGTGGCCCACTTTGCAGCTGCCATGTGTAAAGGTGTATGCCAGTACTTGTCCTGAGGGTTGACCTTTGCTCCGTGCTTCAGTAACAGTTCAACAGCTTTCTGAGGAGCAACACAAAGATAACATTTTGTCAAACCAAAATATCTTGTGGTCAAGTCCTTACAAAAGCCCCTTCTATCCTCTGTATTTTTGAAATAATAAAAATGGGGACATACTTCATTTCTAGAGGCTGCTGCTCGATGTAAGGGAGTCAGCAAACCCCGGTCCTTAGCGTTGACTTTTGCACCTGTAACAGACACGAAAGCAAAATTAGATATATATTTTGACAACATTTCAGATCCTCTGTAGTTTACTAGAAAAGGGCAATACAAAAATATGCAAGTGTATGTAGATTCCATTTACTGTGATCTTTTTCAAATTAAGATAAGGTTTTCGTACCAGAAGTAATAAGTAGGTCCATAGTTTGGACATCCCCCGAATAGGCGGCAGCATGAAGGGGTGAGCTTTGTTCTTGGTCCTGAGAAAAAAGAAAAACAAACGGTTTTTTAAAGGTTTTTTAGGTTATACTTGTATTATATGTCTTTCTTGGTATATTCTGAAAAGGTTATCATAGTTATTTTCTTATTAAACTCTTTCCATATATATTTTTAATCAAGGTTACATTTTGCATCAAATGTTTCAGTAATAGTTGTTTTTCAAACTTGGCAATAACAGAAACATATATAAGCTTGAATTTAAATTAAAGAAAAGCTATGATGGCAGCCAAAAAGGCCACTAGACTACAGCAGAACAATGTGTCATCATTTAATATAGCCTGCCATTAACAATTGACCCAAAATATGATATATTCTAATTTCACACAACAACAACGTTATAGCAGAGTACATGTGGGAAAATATTACCAAATAATTGACATCTTCATTATGGTCCAATAAAAATGTCACTTCTTCTGTGTTTCGGCTAAAAATAGCCTGGACCAATGGAGACTGAAAGAGAGATGTGACATGATAAACAGACCAAAAACACCAGGATACTTTTGATATCAAATGAAAATTAGGTACAGTTCTTCATGTTCAGCACAATCTCACTCAAAGATACATTCATGGTTTTGCTGAGTTGTAATAAAACTGTTACATGTCGGAGTAAAGAGTAAGTAACAAGCTGCTCTCGGTGCATTTCCTGGGAAAATGTCTGTCTCGAGAAACAATATTTTATTTGTAATAATGCTTTTCCTGTAAAGATTAGAACATCACGTTCAACTCAAAGCTTTTGTATTGCATTGGGATTTACTGACTGAAGTGAAATACTTGGGTTGTTTCAATCATGCCAAACTCCTAAAACTTTTTGCAACTATTATATATAGCAATGACTTGCCTAGATTTATCTTCCACAGATAACGTTTAGCAATCGTATCATACAAGTGAGAAATGTGATTCCATTTAAAGATTAAAATGTTTGTTTGGAAGGGTTTGTACTTCGTGTACCAGTGAGCCCAATGACCTCAATATGTGGTCTGGTTGCATTAAAAAAAGGTAATTTCGAACATCAAATTAAAACTTAGTCTTGGTCTGCATAGCAAAGATTTTGTATCATTTACTAGCCTCGTAGCAAACTTTGCTCGACATGTTGCTAACATGACTAGCTGCACTGTTTGTGAGAAGTAACGGCACTGTTAGTTATCTAACATTAAGCTTTATTTACTACCTGGTCTTTGATATTTCTTATCTCCATGTCCAAATCACTGTGGAAGCTCCTTCATTGAGACTGGTTGTAAAGTTGACTACATGTCACTCTGTAGCAGCTAGTTAGCCTAGCTTTAGCTAAGTTAGCTGCTGGGATATGTGATGTGTAACGTTAGTTACCCCACAGTAGCCGGAATATCGCGAGAAGACGTAAAGAAACGTGATTTAGAAGCACTTTAATGTCACGTCAGAACCATAGACTGTATGGTCAGAACATGCAAGGCATCTCTCCCATTATACATCCATGATCTGTCCCATTATACATCCATGATCTGTCCTTGTAACAAACTTCATTGTTTTTTGTTAAATTCAAATTATACATAGACACATACACCCTTATAACATAAACTGAACGTACTAACTTATATTTATAGGTTATACTATAAAGTATATAGTAAATATACTATAGTTTATAGTATTACTTTTCTGTGGTCACCGATTAATTATTATATTATATTATTATTATTATATTGTTCACCTTACATTTAAAAACGTTTTTTTATATTTCATTTCATTTTCCTTTGTACACACTGGTCTTTGACCTGCTGAATGTTGGTTCACAAACTGCTTATTTGCTTTTAACATTATTTACTTTTCATTTCTTTACAGATTTTCTTTTAAATAATACGTTATAAATAAATAATAAAAAATTAAAAAATTAAATTAACTAATAAATTAAAATGGATTATATTGGATACAATAGTGTATAAACTAATTAGCCCCACCTTGACAGATTTAATGCATCAATAATTATATTTTAGATCATTTTATAATGGACCATTATGAATAATCAGTACTTTCACCCTTGGTACTTGAAGTATATTTTTATGTCAATAATTTGTATCAAGTAAGATTTGGAAAGCAATACTTTGACTTCAAACCTATGTGTAAAGCCAAAGTATTGCTTACTAGTATACGAATACTGTATTTATATACTGTAATATTACTACTTTTACTTAAATAAAGTATCTGAGTACTTATTCTACTGCTGTTGAAGCTGGTTGAGATGATTATAAGAATAGACGGCCTGACAGGCTAAACCCAGGGCCCACAAAGCTTACTCCTCGACCAATCAGAAGAGTTAAATGACTGCACATGCGCACTAAGTCTTCAACTTACATTTGACATGGAAATATACGACTTTGCCAGAATTTAGCTTGATAACGTGCTACTTAGCTAGCCACCTGGAGATTTACACAGATGATGTCAGTTTAAAAGCCGCTTTAAACGTCAAAACACAACCTGCTGTTGTACCCTCCCATAAAGTGAACACAGGTAAGAGCGTTTTCATACTTTGATAAAGGTAGGTTAGCAGATCCCACCTGACTGCTAACGGTACCATGGAAACTAGCTCGATCACAATAATATAGTTACAGTAAAGCGACAGTGTTGGTGTTTACGGTTTTTATAAGCGTGTTTGTTAGAAGGGTTTTAAGTTTACATAATGGGTTTTGTAGCTAGTTGGTTTGATTGCAGCCACATCACCATGTAGTTAAAGTTATCAAGACCAGGGGCCAAACGGTGAAGTTCTGGTTAGCTTATGTTAACTAATGTTACTTTGGGGTTTTGTCAAATTAATTAAAAACTATTGCAGCAGTACATGAATGACCTGTAATACAAAGTTTCTGTCTACTTCATTCTAAACATACACATATGTTGCACTTAAAGGCAAAATGCAGCAATTTAAAGAGATTATTTTATACATCATGTTATTGTGAGCACTACAATCGGTGGGTTGATTCACGTGTCAAAGCTGGAAATCAGAGCATCATGCTGAGTTGATGAAGTCATTAGGATACACTTTGACCCATATACAGTCATGGTTATATCATCGTCATCATTACATTTATTCAGATTCAACATGTACAACTGAGTTTCACCGTCTCACATTTAACATGTATTTTCTGACAATTTAAGGGTAAGATGTTATTAACCGTAATTGACTAGACCTTGATACATTATTAAAGTGTATTAGTTGATTTAAACAGGTAAAGTGCACATTAATGGACATTTTTATAAATGCTAGTCAAGAGGCTATTTTTCATCTGTAGTCCCTGGACATAGCAACACAGCAAGCTCATGGCTTTATGTGAACAGAGGTAGGGATAACTGGTTCATTTAGTAGTAGCCTACTTTAGGTTCAAAAGGTTAAAAGGTTGTAATGTCATATACACAGCTACAGTGTAGTTGTGCAATGAAAACCTTGGGTCACAGGTTCCTCTAACATTGCAACATAAATATGAAAAATACATAAAACGAATACAAAAAAACTGTACAAATGGTGCAAGTTCAGGAGTTTAGCAGTCTTTTGGTCTGTTGGATAAAACTGTCCCCGAGTCTGGTGGTCTTTGTCCTGATGCTGGGTACAGCCTGCCAGACGGCAGCAGACACAACAGTTTGTTGCTGGGGGGAAGGGGGTCTTTGTATGTTTGTGACATAATGTGTGTGCAGGGTTCTTGATTGACTTTTTTCCCCGCAATATTTGCCTAACATTAAAAATAAGTTTTCTTAGATTTTTGCTTTGGCATTACTGTGTTGAGATTAGTTTTTTCTTGTGGTATAACTGCCTGCAACAGCCATCCTTTTAGGGGGTGTAACATTAGAGAATATTTGTCAGTTTGGGAGTTGTCGTAGATTTAATGATTGTAAAAGCTGTTCGATGCAGATTAGGCTCCTATGATGTTTTTTGAGGCCAAGGCTTTTTGGGGAAGTCAAATGAGTTTGTGACTAAGTGATGAGATTTGTTACTAAGCTTACCACTTTCAAATGTTATATTATTTCCAAACTTGCTCGTACTGAAATTATTTCCACAAGCCTAGCTGTGTGGCAATAAAGGAATATCTAATTTAAAATAGTCAATTCCAACTTTTTGACTCATGTAGGTGATGGCATAAGTTGTATTTCCTGAAGTGTATAGCTGGTGAATAATGTTGAGTCTAATATATGGATTAAGTTCTACCACATTCTTTGCCTCTGGGAAACCTAGTTGGAGTCTTAATCTCTTGTATTAGCACCTACACGTGATTGTCCATGGAGTTTGAAAAGATTAGTGCTGACACATTTTAAAGGCAGTTTTACAACTTCAAGAGTGGAATTCGGGTCACACTGGGACCAATACAACCAATACTTATGTCAGATAGCACAGTGTACAAAAAATAACCTGATGTGTGAAAGTCCAAAACCAACTCACAAGGTTCTGCAATAAGATTAAAAATACACCTGCTGTAGGTTGATCAAAAGCTGAACTGAACTAAGCTGATATATTCTTTAACCAGGTGATAAGACGAAGGCAGTTGACTTAAAACCAGAGTAAATACCTGCACACTAAAATCTCCTTTTGTAGTCTTAGCTAACAGTCCTGTTTTGATCTTCATCAGGAAAACTTACTGTGAGACATGACTTGATCAACATGATCCTCTGCAAAACAATGTTTTTATTATTAACATTATCAGACTCAGAATAATGTCTTAACCCGGGGGAGTTGGGTTTTGTGACAGTTTCTCCATTTTAGAATTAAAACAAAAATATATATATATATAAAAAAATAAAATAAAATACAATACAAATATGTAAATGACCATTAGAAATTCAAGTAAATGTGTAAAAAATAACATCACATAAAAACATTTATTTAAACATAGGTAGTATATAATAAGATGAGGCAGTCATTTAGTGGAGTGAGAGACACATTCGTTTGGGATTTAGTGGAGTTGTTTTGATTTGATTGACGTTGGGAAAAATAATTGGAGAAAACTCCATCATGTGTGTCTGCCCTGTCTGCATACATTGTCAATGGTATTCAATTATAGGATCATTTTTACTAGTTTAGCTGGTTCGGTATCGTTTATGTTTTTTATGAGCAAAGAAATCTTAGTTTCAAAAATAATACCGCATTTCAAACCTCATTTTGTACTCTTCCTAGTCCATTCACTCTGACTGCTGGCTGCAGCCACATGAGAACACACAACAAATAAGTGTCTTCAGAGATGCAGAAAACTGAACCATCCTGCGGCTTAGTCCTTCCTTTTTGAAAACAAGCTGTTTGATTTATGTCCACATGATGTTTTGTCGAGTATTAGGGGTTTATATTTCAAGAAACAACTCACATTTGTTGTAAACTAATATCATTTCTCAAAATGTAATCTTTTTAAATGAATTGTTGCTGCTACTAAACAAAGTACCCAGGATTCTATCACTTTTTATAAAGCCAAATACTACAATACAGAGCACATGTTGAGTTGTGAACCAAAGAAAGTGACACTCAGATGAAACCATTGACCTTTAAAGCAGCTCTGTCTACTGCCTCGTATGATCCCATAGTCACATGCTTTCAAAGGAGCTACACTCTTTGTCTCAAATAACTTGCCGTTATATAAAACAGTTGTCTCTGTGTGGACTGAAGGTTTTTTCATTTTAATTTTCGGGATGTTAAGTAAAGAAGTATCTATTTTACTGTGGAGCCGAGTGTGAGAGGAAGGATGCATGTGGTGGAAGTGAAACTGGTGCCGGTGGTCAACTCAAGGTTTACTGTTAAAGGTTCTCATTAAGGAAGTGACCTCTCACATGCTCTTAATGTTGCAGAGTCATATTTATGACTTAGACATTTTAATGAAAAACATTAGGTGGCATTTAATGATGCATTCAGAAAATTACGCAAGCTCCCAAGATAATTGCAAGTCATAAGTGTGTGACTAGAAATGTTCCTGACTTTAATTCTGCAACCAAAATGGCCGTAACTGAGCCCACACATAAATGTCACAAGGTATTTCTCTTGTTTTTGGAAAGAAATGTTACTTTGTTTTAATCACTGTGGACTTACAAACTGCTATGATATCTCTGTGTTGTTGTTCTTATGTTGTATTTATTTGATCATTTACTGATATGGCCTCTTTTGTCTAAAATAAATCAGAGCTTTGAACAGCTGAGAAAAGTTAGTTGATCAACGGCAAATTCGATTAATCAATTAATAAAAAGTAATTTATTAAGCTAAAATGGCTTGGAACGCTTTTTTCAGCCTAGAAAATATGAATATTTCTGGCTTCTTTGTTTTATACTCTTTAATTTAGTTTGTTTAGGCTTTGGACTGAAAGTAGTAGACATTCAAAGACATCAACTTGGGTTTTGAATCTGGGACAGACATTTTTCACTATTTGCTGACATTTTATAGACCAATCAATGAAACGGCATATTTGTTAAATAAATCAAATCAATATTGTTTTAATAAAAAGGGGAAAGGGCAAGACCATTTTGCAAATGTTTCATGATATACATTCATATTTGCATTTACTGTTATTGAGAAAACCTGAAGTAAGTCTCTTTGGGAATCCAGTCATTTTAGCTAAATGGTTGTTTGAGTGCAAAGCATCACTTATGTGATAATTACTGTTTTACCTTCAACAGTCATGTCTTTCATGCTCCTCAAGATGATGTATCTGTTGTTGTTGTATTCCAGGGAGGCTGATATTCATCCCTCCAGTTCCCAGGGATCCCTCAGCCTGCCCTGATGAAGGCCGAGCAAGACGAAGACCTCCTGGAAGGTAAAGCTTAAGACAACAGAAACACGACCATCACATTACAGACACACCTTCTGTGTTCTCCAGCATTACACACTCTGGCCATTGGGTTAGGGCTGCAATCCTCTATCTGTGTCAGCGTGCATGCTGACAGAGAGGCTTAAAACAATATGTTACTGAAGAATACTGAACACTTTTTTATATACATGTTGCCCCAGAGCCATGGCTTGACTTTTGAAAACTCAAACTCTCTACATATTTATAAAAAATAACATTTGTTTTCTTTCTTCCTTGGAATAATTTAAGTATCTGAATGTATATTGTGTAACACTTTAAAAACATAAATCACAGTGCTTTACAACGCAGCATAAACAAATCCAATGAAATGAAGAAATAAAGTATTAGATGAGAACATCATAGAAGAATAAATGAGGATAAGGTATATGATAATATTTTAAAAACTATTGAAATTAGACACAAGGTGTATGATAATATGTTAAAACATTAAACAAACATCAGACATACATAACATGTAATAGACTAAGTCAAAGCACATAAAAAAAGGTGTGTTTTTAATAGACAGACTGTGGCTAGCCTGATCTCATCCGGCAAATGATTTAATCATTAAAGGGAAAACAGAGGGCAGGTCACACTGCTATTACTATTACTATTTGTGCTATGGTTCGGTTTTCCTCTATGGAAAAAAAGAGCAGATGTGTGCCTTGGCGTGCGTACTTTACTTCTCTGTCTTTTGGGGCTCATCTTTAGAAACAGGATGTAAGAATGTCTTTAAGCGACGAATGACAACAAAAGTGATGATTAAGGCAAAGTCATTCATATATAAGCAGAGTCATTGTTAGGAGCAGCGGACTGTGGGAGCAGCCGTCAGTTGGAAATGAAGGAAGGAAATAATGAAAGGTCCAAACTCAGTGAGTAGTACATGTTTTCTGGTATATCATTTGTCAGAAATGGTAAACACAAGAGTTAGAAGAGCTTTTTCTGCGATTTTACTCTTGTAAATATTGACTGTAATTATTTTCCTTTCATTGTGTTCTCAGAAAACATGTTTGTTGGTACATTGGGCTTAGGAGTTGAATAATGGGTCATAATTACAGGTCTTAACATTATTGTGTAAAGACAATATGAGAATATATTGAGAATATGTCGCTTCTGGTCATTAAAACTGTGGCTTAATCTTTAAGTCCATGCAGTAAGCTGCTGTTCAGACAAGTCTATGACGGAAGCTGTGTTTTGTCTTCTGTTTACCTTGAAAGATCTGTTTTAGTTTATATTTGAATGGCAGAGCTGTTGTTGTTCCTTGGGTATCTACTGTATGTCTGTTAACTCATAAAACCTCAGCTCTTTAGAAAGTAAAACAAAAATGGTTTAGTCGGAACCAATTTCACTTGGCTTTTAATTCATGCTAACCTTGCTGTACAATTTGGGTTAAGGTTAGTTAGTAGAACAGAGGTTTGAGAGTTTGGCTATGTTGAAAAGCATCAAGTGCTGTTGCTAAAGTATTAGTCTAGTATCACAACAATTATTTTCTATTTACATTAAACCAAAAATAATTTATGGGGCAAATCTTGAATCCTTTTTACTACTAGGTACTTTTCTCCCACCTAGCTTTCAATACTAAAATCATGTAGCATGGCCAACTGCAACACTGTTGTAGAAATGAAATGTGTCAGTAGAGTTTATCATAAAACATTAGAAAGGACTTTCAGAACTACAAAAATTAAATCCATGTTTAAAAATATATTTTTCATAATGGCACCAATTTTCTTTTTTCTTCTCTGTTTCTGTCAGAGGACTCCCCTCAGGAGAATGGAGCTGAGACAAACCAGTACAGCTCCGTCTCTCCTCCTTCCTCACCAGTAGCCCAGGATGAACCCTTCTCCACATACTTTGAGGACAAGGTGGCCATTCCTGACAATGTCAGCCAGGTAAGATCCTTATAAACCACTGTTTCATGTAAAACAAGCAGCAAAACACACGCTTAAGTGTGGGTACGTATGTAATCATGTACATGTGGCTGCGATCATCAGTTTCAAAGATCAAGTATAATGCTTTAAACTTATTGGAGTTATATTATTTTTTTAGATTTTGGGAAGCTTAACACACTTTATTTTGGAATGTATACAACTCCATATCAATCAAATTACATTTTATCAGTAATGCCTAAATGTGACTTTTCCCCCATTCAGGTGTTCAGCTTCCGTAAACTCTGGGCCTTCACTGGACCGGGGTTTTTGATGAGCATTGCTTACTTGGATCCAGGGAACATCGAGTCCGACCTGCAGTCCGGAGCTAAAGCCGGCTATAAGGTGACATTTTAGTATCAGTATTCTTTTATTTTGAAGGCAAAATGGCCTTTGGTCATGTGTTGTCTGTCTCTTGCTCAATTGTCACACAAAATAGGTTGCATCAACATACAGTATTTCTCTAAGAAAAGGCATCAACTTCATCATAGGTGCAATGACTTATGATCACTTCCATCATATGTATTTTTTCCTTACATTACCAAAAATAAACTTTCCAAAATGAACGTGAGCAAGAAATTATGTAGGCAACTATTTTTTTAAATATAGTGTGTCAAAGTAAAATTCCTACATAGGGAAAGTGATTGTACTGATTTATTTTTCTTTGTGTCTCAGCTCCTGTGGATCCTCCTTGGAGCCACCATCATCGGGCTGCTGCTGCAGAGGCTGGCTGCGCGCCTCGGGGTCGTCACGGGGATGCACCTGGCTGAAGTCTGCAACCGCCAGTATTCCACAGTGAGCATTCAGCACTCATAACGCATATTAACTTCCCCTTTCTTGTTGTACATTAACTTTTTATGAATGGGACTGAATGTGTGAGTGAGTTAAGAGTGTCAAAATGAGTGTTCCATTTTTGCTGTACCAAATAGAGTAAAGTTTTAAACCTTCTTTAATTTTTCTTTTTTTTTTGCATGTCACTGATCAAGATTAGACTAAGATATTGGTATTAGTATTCTACTATTTGAAGAATTAGATTACAAGGGTCGCTGTGTTTCAATGTTTCTGATCCAAACATTTCCAATACCTCCAGAGCCTATCCAAAATGTTTATTTTCCTAATAAAATATTCTACTTTAATTCATGTTTGTTGGTTTTTAGTTTTCCAAAAACAATGTTTTCACTGCTGTCAAAGAACAGTTTGCCCACCCCTGCTTGTCATACAAAGGGACGCCTGATGGACAAGTGACATTATTTAGATACATTTATTCACTTTATTTAACATTTTTCGTAGAGTCAGAACAAAAAATATAATGACAGTCATTAAAGCCTTTTTGGTAAAACTCAATAGAAGCTTTTAATATAAAACATCAACCGCAACAACCCTACATTTTTAATATCCTGTTTTTAGATTTTGTCAAATAAAAGCCAACATGAGTTATGTGATTCGCTAAAGTTTCAAGAGAGTATTAAACTCTGCTAAATGACATCATCTTCCACTCTCTGATTATATCCGTTCTTTTATTTCTGTTTCAGGTTCCTCGGGTCCTGCTTTGGGTGATGGTGGAGCTGGCGATTATTGGCTCGGACATGCAGGAGGTCATTGGCTGTGCCATCGCTCTCAACCTTCTCTCAGTGGGCAGGTACCATTAGAAGCGCCTGCAAACATTTGTAGAGATTTGCAAAGCGTATATTTCTGTAATGGTGAGTAGTTACTGTAGTTCTTCTCTTTCCCCTTCAGGATACCACTGTGGGCAGGAGTCCTCATCACCATCACTGACACATTTGTGTTCCTCTTTCTAGACAAATACGGTAGGGATTCACTTACTTAACATTTAATGTGTTATGAAAGCTGTGCTTCCAGGTGTTGATACCGTTTGTACCTCCTTGTAGGATTGAGGAAACTTGAAGCCTTCTTTGGATTCCTCATCACCGTAATGGCTCTGAGCTTTGGTTATGAGGTAAAAGTCCCTTACAATGTCCTGGATAGTTCAAGTGTTAATTGACAGCTGTCAGATTTTGACCTATGTGACTCTCTTTTGCCTGTGTGTAGTATGTGGTGGCAGCACCAGACCAAACGGAGCTTCTGAAGGGGATGTTCATCCCTTACTGCTCCGGCTGCGGGTCTGTGCAGCTGGAGCAGGCCGTGGGAATTGTAGGCGCCGTCATCATGCCCCACAACATCTACCTGCACTCAGCACTGGTCAAGGTTAGTAGCGCATTTGCTTTTATTCAGAAAAACTAGTTTTGTTTTTCTTACCAAATAGTTTGCACAGTTTTTATTTTGACAATGCAGAACATCATTGTTTGAGATAAACTTTATTGTATTGGCTAAAAAATGTAAAACTACTAATTTTTGTATTACCTCTGGGTACATTTTTCTTCACTTTATTATTAATACTATAGCTATTTGTAATATTCATACACATTTTTTTGTAAACTGTGAAGCAGTCCCATTTGTCTTTCCTACACAATATAAAATAGTAATTGAAAAGCTCAGCATTATAAATGCCATTTTTAAAGATTCTTAAAGCAGATTTTGGTTGTTTGATGGTTGTGTTATTCTGTTTAATTCCTTTTATACAAGTCTCGGGATATTGATCGGAAAAATAAGAATGAAGTAAAGGAAGCCAACAAGTACTACTTCATCGAGGCAACCATCGCTCTGTTCATCTCCTTCCTGATCAACGTCTTTGTCGTAGCGGTCTTTGCCGAGGCCTTCTACGGCAAAACCAATAATGACATGGTGAGAATCCTGCCCTCTTTACTGCTGTTGTTCATACTAGAACAAAACAAATATTTTCTGTTAACTACGGTTGACCCACATTGTGCAGAGCCAAGAGTTGTGTCTTATCATATGTTTGTGTTCCTGGTTTCAGAATCAAAAGTGCAATGAAACCGGCCTCCTGCCAAAAGAGCTCTTCCCTCATAACAACGAGACACTGCAGGTGGACATCTACAAAGGGGTACGTCCTCCCAACAGTAATATATAATTGTGTCTTGACATATAACGTCACTTCCTATAAATAAAAACCAGATATACTTACAGTATTGGTGCAGAGAACAAAATCTATATTTTTTTCATGATGTATTAGAGAGGATAGGAACGCATCGCAGATCTTATCATGATATTTGAGATGTGTCTCAATTCTGTGTGGGTTCCCTACGACTGTACATACTTATTATGTATATATACGTAGCGTTTTTTTGCAGTTAATATACAATAGTGTACGAACCTGCTTTTTAACTTAAGATAACCATCCCTTGTTGAAGGGATGAATAGATTGATAACTTATTTCCGTGTCTGTCTGTTTGCTTAGGGAATTGTGCTGGGCTGTATCTTCGGACCTGCAGCCCTCTACATCTGGGCCATAGGAATCCTGGCAGCTGGACAGAGCTCCACCATGACAGGCACTTACGCTGGGCAGTTTGTCATGGAGGTAGGAGTGTGTTTTGGTACCTTGAAATGTTTATAAAAAACAAACATAAGTGTGTGTGCTCAGGTTTTTCTTTTGTGTTTTTGAAGGGATTCCTGAACCTTCGTTGGTCCCGTTTTGCGCGGGTTCTGCTGACCCGCTCCATCGCCATCACTCCTACACTGCTGGTTGCCATTTTTCAGGATGTTAAGCATCTGACGGGGATGAACGACTTCCTGAACGTTCTTCAAAGCATGCAGGTCGGGAAGAATAATTTGTGAAAGCCCTTATGAGGGAAAATGTGTGACTTTAACCCACTGCTACTCTGTCCTATTCTGTCGTACAAAACTGTAAACATATTCACTGACCTTTCTTTCTGTTCAACAGCTTCCTTTTGCTTTGATCCCAATTCTGACCTTCACCAGTATGAAATCCATTATGAACGACTTTGCAAACGGAATGTGAGTAAAATGTGATTTATTTTTATCATTAATACCTGACTATTCAGGATGTTTTAGTATCAAAGTTAATTTAACTTAGAAACAAAAAAAATGGAAGGGAGGAAATCTTTCTTTGACAGCCTTTTTTGTTAAATGTGTTGTGATGGGGGTCTGTATTTACTTATTCATTGAGAAATCATGCAACTTCTTTGCTCAAGGTCATGTGAGTGATTCTGTTCTAGACAGTTTTATTTTAAACTAAATGTTCCTCTCTTTAACAACATATAGGATGATACTCATCCAATGTTGTTTTCTGACAGGCCAATATTGGATTATGCAAACTAGGAATTTACTCAGTGGTTAAATGGAACACTTTCCAGGAAGCTGTTAGTAAGAGAAAAAAACCCGTTATTTCTCAATGGTATAATGAACTGTCTGTTTGTTCAGGGTGTGGAAGATTTCAGGAGGCATCGTCATCCTGGTGGTTTGTGCCATCAACATATACTTTGTGGTGGTGTACGTCACGGCGCTGCACAGTGTGCTGCTCTATGTCCTCGCTGCTCTGCTCTCCTTGGCCTATCTGTGCTTTGTGGGCTACCTGGTGAGTCGGATTGCTTCTCATTATTTGGTTTTAGTACTTTGACATTTGGTAACCTCTTTTTTTAATGCAGACAATGAATCAGTGACGAGCATAGTAGGATAAACCTTTTGCTCTTGATCTTGATCTTGCTACAGAAAATATGTGGTTATACTACAGTGCTGCCAACCTAGTTTTCTTTTCCCCATATTAACCAATAGTTACAATCACCAAAATTAATAAATCCATTGTAGTAATTAAACTTATCTAACAATCAATACGTCTTATCTTCATTCTTACATTTCTAATTGTGAGAACAAACACAATGAAGTGCAGACAACTGAAGCAATTAAGGTTAATCACAATCAAACTTAACCAGGATCCAGTAATCCAACATTTAAGGTGCTGCTAATCTGAAATCGGTAGCATGACCAATTTAGTTTACTAGGTATACAAATAGTTACTTACAGTTTGATTTATTTGTGATGTATTGTTCAGGGTTAGGGTTATGATGAAATACATTTTTGTTTTGAAAACGGTCTAATGTATTTAAATGTTCTGTTTTAGGAATGTTTAAGTGAAACAACATATTTCTTGCATTCCCTGTTGTGTCTTGACTTCTCTACTTTTGTCTGCAGGCCTGGCACTGCTTGGTTGCCCTGGGGGTTTCCTGCCTGGACTTTGGCAGCAGGGTAAGCAATCCACCTGCCATGTTGATAGAGGAGCACTCTGAATACGACTCGTAGTGCCGAACAGGACAATAACCACCAGCATTCCTCTTGGAAACACTGAGCCCTGTACACAACCAAGACTTTTGTAGATCATGTAGCATCACATGTTGATTTTGTGTAGGGCTGGGTATCAGAATGTGGTGCTACTTAGGTACTCAACGAACTCAATTTATAATGCACCAGCACAATTAAGGGCAGTGTTTAATGCTTGATAAGGAAATATATCTGCATCATTTGGCAAATTAATAATTGTTACAATCCTTAAAGGCAACAACTATGATCACCTCTGCTTGTAAGCGACATACTTTGACAGAAATGGTTTATAACATATATTCTCTATTGACGTTAAACCCAATTTTCTTTAAACACTATTTTCCATAATTTTTGTAAAATGAAATCTCAAAAGAAACACTCAATACTGTCTTCTTCACTTTTTGTCAGGGATATTTTTTAATAACTTTTCTGTTCACAGACCTGACGAATAATATGAACAGAAACGTTATTAAGAAATGTCTCTGACTGCAAGTGGAGCTCTACAGAAAGTGCACCAGCTTTTTTATAACATTTTATCAGACTTTTGAAAAACAAGCACCTCAGTTTGTATTTTCACCCCATCTTTATGAAGACATTTCCCACAGTCTCTCTGCTTCATATAACTTTGGACGTCATAAGGAGGAGATCAGTGAAGGTTAAAGGATTTAGACAGGATGATTTTAGACTTCCTCTAACAAGACCGTAAGTTAGTATTTTGTAAATGTTATATTTTCCTGCATGTGAGAAGCAGAAAGATATGCAACAGATTTGTTGAAAGATTTGTTGTTTCTTACCATTGTTTCCAATAAGTATTAACAGACCTAACTGTATACCTATAACAGTAGTCTTTAAATCTTCTTTTTGCCTGATTATTTGGCTTGTTCTCTAAGACATGTACAAATGCTAGCTGCATTGATTACCTCCCAGTGTAGTGTTATTATTTTTCACTCTGTCTACCTCAACATCCTCCATTGTCTCATTCCTCTGAACCGTCTCTGTAGCTGTTTGATTCTTTGGATTTTTGCATCTAACTATTTAATAACAATTGTCAAATAGTTCTCAAAAAAGTTATGTTAAAGAAACTATATGTACCAAAAATCACCAAATGATATCCAGCCCTAAATGTACCCAATTTGATTATTATCAGCTGATTTTAAATGGGTTAATTTCAGTGGTTATCAGCCCCATAGTGTGTCGGACGGGGCCTGCTACACCCACTATACTGTAGGTTTTATCACACGTTTGATCACCAGAAGAAGGAAAACAAGAAGATGACACCTACCTCTAGTGACTTTAGCAAATATGACAAAAGCAAAGGTAGGCGATGTCATGAGAAACTCCATTAGGGGTGGGGGATGTGAACAGGGAACCATTACCCAGGAGACTGGTGTTGGCGCCCCATCTAAATTCACAATTTGTTTTGTCTTTTTGTTTACATCTTATTATGTCACTTTCGCTTCACAAGCATAGTCACTTTAACACAAACACATTTTTTCTCCTAGCCATAATAAAGCAGTTTGGTTGCATAAACTTAAACAACTATTTTGTTTGTGTTGTTTTAAATTTGCACGCATTAGAACGGTAGCGATAACCACTGATAACGGCCTCTTAATCAGCCGTTAGCCTTCAAATTGTGTGAGCTGATTCCTGTCTAACATGTCACAGTTTTAGCATCATGTATTACCATTCTCTTCATTTGTTACGTCCTAGTTGATTCTTGGTTCTGTAAAGTCCAGAGTTGAAAGATTTTACAACCAAGCCTGTCAATGGGGATTCTTTTCAAATCTAAAAAAAATTAGCCTTGCATTGTAAAATCAAATTTGAAAGACTGAATGGCTTAAATGGAGGACCGTTATTGTCTGACGAAGTCTAAAGAAGAGTCATTTAAAAACCTGCTGTAGTGCTGCATATTGAAAACTGTTATGTTAACCCCCTTTGATGTAAAATAAAAAAACCTTTATCCACAAAATAATAATTTGTAAATCAATTTCACACCCTGTGTTAACTTTAATACTTCAGAAAAACTGAGAAAGTGTTTGATGAGTTGTAGTGAATGGGGGCCGCATTTAACAACAGCAAAATGATATCAAAACATCTGTTATGTGGAGGTTTTTTTAAAAGTATGAATTTACTGAAAATGCATGTTAATCAATGTGTTTGGGAAGTAGTGAGCATACGACAGGATTAAAAACCTGCGGCGAGTTATGTGACAGTTGGTAAGCTAATGTTTTTTTAAATAGTTTTGCTTTTATTAAATCCGGCCAACTTTACTTCAATTCATCCATAATCTTAGTTTTTGATTCTTTGTTAACCATGGAGTTTATTTTAAGAATTGATATAGATGATATAGAAAAGTCATGTTGTGTGTATGAAGTATCTCTTTAACAGACTCCATTCAAGCAAAGTTTCATATGACAGTCACCCCTCTTTTAGTGCCTAAATAATCAGGATGCCAGTGACTCTCAAATGCTAAAGTGAGCTTATCAGTAAATCAAAGCTTAAGTGTGAAGGAAGATAAGCTTGTAGTACTGTGCACGAGTTGTATCATACATTCTTAACTGTGTGAGTTTAGGTGTTGAATAAAGATCCATTGAAGTATTAAAACCATGATAAACCTCTAATTCAGAATGGTTGCCTTTGGGAAAAGCTACATAGAAATATATTGTATAAATATGTTATGTTGCAATTTATAGAATGTAAGTTCTGAAATAAATATAGGGACTTATTTTAACTGCTATGCAGAGAATTAAAAACATTAAAAAATGGTCTAAATGTTTAAAACCATTACAACGTTACTTGTAATATATATATATATATATATATATATATATATATATATATATATAGCCCATGATCCCCAGTTTTCTCAGAGAGTTTCCAATCTGTAATCCACCTTTAAAATCTCAAAGCAGTCATATTGTGGATAATGAATAGTCAAGTCCTATTTAATTGAATGCAGAAAATGTTGATGCTGAATTGGGTGCACTGCATGTGTCCACCGATTCATTTAAGACTTCCTTTTAGAAATGAAAAAGTTGTAATCTGTTTGACTTCGTACATGTTTGTTTGTTCTCAACACTGTTGGTTTATTTTTTAAATGTGTGTGTTTCTTTTACTAAGAATAAAAGTATTATGAGAATTCAAACTTGTTTAGAAAAAATGGAATATTCATATTTTCCTATAAAATGAGTGCCATCGTTTCTGCTGTCAGCCTCTGTTAGATTACAGCTTGGATAAAGTAAACAGGATTTCAATAATTGTCAAACTCCGAGAAACTGGTCTCGGGTTCAGAGTTCTCAAAAGCTTTCATAAAGTTACTCAAGGTTTTCAGGCTGCTGACATACAGTGTTTAATGAATACCTCATGGCTAAAGCACATTTGAACTTTTCCAGGGATAGATTCGATGTAGATTAAGATACTAATTTCTGCTCTTTGGGATTTAATGAATAAGTGTCTTTCCTTGCAACGTGATAAAGCACCCCATGTGTTCAAAAATAAATGGGAAAGTATGGATATAAGGACATTTGTTGGCGTCTTCTGTATGAATGTCTAAAAGATTTATACATTAAAGGGTTTCAACTACAAGTCTATTTTAAATAGAGAAAATTCTTGATTTTATCATACATAAAATAAATCAATACCTCAGAAATAACTAGAGAATTGTCTTTTCGGCAGTCTTGTAATGTTAATCTTATAAATAAGTACTAAACTTGATAACTTGCCCTACTGTACTGCTAATTAGGTGGTGATAATGTGATAAGGTAACACACAAGGAAGTTGTTTACGTTCCTCTTACCCAGATTAAATGGTGAAATTTTAGGATGATGGCAGTTATCGTAGGATAAATAATACATTTTCAGCGCTTTCCTGGATTAAATTAGGAAAGTTGAGTTTAGAAAGTAACATTTTTACCTACTGTAAGGTGAGCACCATTAATGAATCTGTAATTTTAAAACAATCAATTTCAAATTGTGAACTGATTGCCAAATTATTCTTTTTGATTTGAAATTGTTCTCTTTTTTTATTTTACATTTTCCTTACATATTTCTTCTACATTCTACTAGGTTTATATTCCTTGAAAAAAGTATAAATCAAAACTGTAAATTACATAATATAAAATTGATATACAAAAGCATGGACGCTTTTACTGGTCATAGTGAGCATGGTGTGTGCGCTGGCATGTAGAGCTGCAACAATATGTAGTTTCACAAAAATATCCTCAGCAACTATTTTGATGATCATGACTTTTGGATTTTTGTCCGGTTTATATTAAATGAAGCTGATTATCTTTGGATTGTAGATATACAAAACAAGACATTTAAAAACATCAGCTTGGACTGTGTTTTGTTTTGCAGCCCTATAAGCATGTCATCATGTTTTTTTTTGCAATGTATGAAGATTAAGTTCTGAATAATTTCCTAATTATAAAACCATTCATTAATACGTGAACTTGAGAATCAGACGAATACGGCATGGCGTGGCCAAATCATATGAAAACATGTCCTGTTGCCATGCAGGTTATCCTGGTAAAGTAATGCTTATAGTATTGATATGTGTAGTTAACCATTTGTATTAAATTCTGTCCTCTCTCTTTCAGATGCAACTGTCCCGGCACACTGACATTTACCTACTGACTGACATGGACACTGACACTGGTTGAGAAGAAGGAGGACGCGATGTGAGCAGATGTTGATCTGATGACCCGACAGTAGCGAGGGACCACTGAAACTCGGCCAGTATGTGCTAGTCTTCACCTCTCTGTGCCTAGCATGTCTTTAAAGTGTCCTTAAAGTACACACTGTGTTGTACACACAGTAATGTGTAATCCAATTGAGGATGTTTTTTATTGTAAATGCCTTGTCAATCTCAGCCAAATAATGTTAATGCAAATAATGGTTTAATATCTCGGAAAGATGTTTGTTCCTGTAATAAAGCAAACACTAATAAAAAACACTTATTTAAGTCCAATATAACATGTTTTGCCAACTAGACAATACTGTGAGGAACATGCTTTCTACACAGAAATTGCACAATAATAAACTTACAATTCCACATCATGGAGATAACAGTGAATTAAATTCAGAGGGGTTCAGAGACAGTCAGCTGTTTTCAGAGGATGCTGCACTTAGTGTGCCGCGGACCTAAAATATTTCCAGCAGTCTGCACATTTCATTCAGTCTTCTTGGTTTAGCTGAAATTACATTAGAAATATATATTTATACATTTGCCATGGTTACACAGCCCTGTGACAGAAGGTTCTGAAAAGTCTGATATGAATGTCAAGATGTTATTTAAAACATGTTTTTCATTTGGTAGGAACTGAATAGCTGTCCTTGTTTGATTGTATGTGATTAAAATCTTTCATCAAGATGTTAATATTAAACGAATAAATTGTTTAAATTAATATATTGAATATCTATATAACCCTTGACAAATATACAAGGTATTGATGTGTGTTTATTCACACTTTTTCCTGTGTTTTATACTATATGAAAGAGTGACAGTTTAATGTCATTTTATACACAGTTATGCATCTATTTTAGGTGCTTGGAATTCTGTTTCTTGGAAATAAAGTTTATATATCCTTCGTATGTTTCCACAACATATTTCCAATTATTTGAAGGACTGGCTGATTTTAAATTATTCAACAAATGCCAGCGTGTAGGATTTGAAAATTCATTATATTGGTGGTCCTTGGGTGTAGTAACTTAAAGACACTGTGACAGCAGACACTCACTTAAAACGAAATAATATTACATGTATTCAGCAAATGTATACATTCCCATATAATTTATTTATGATTTATTTTTGTCATAAATGTAAAGTTAATGACTAAATGCAGCACTTGAAGTTTGATCCCTAAAGAGTTTGCCTCCTATTGATAGATCTTATCTTATTTATCATACACACATGTACATCACACATACATTTATATATTTATATGAATATCAAAATGTGGTATTATATCAACTTAATTTGCTCTTGTAAATCTCCTTCTCAGTTAAGCTTAGGTCAGTTTGTCTGAGATGTTTTTATTCATGTGTAGTTATTTAAAAAAATGTTTTGATAAATGCCTATTTGGCCTGTACTGTATGATGTTTTATTTTTGTTTAGTTAAGTTTAACATTTTAAAATGTTTGCTTGGCTTCTATTTTGGGATATTATGTAGATATAGATTTTCTTTATTGAGTTAAACTTGGGCAGGGGTGGGATGTGTGCTAAAGGGCATTATGTTACAGAACAAGATTGCATTGAAATTAATGTGGAAGAACAAGATAGAAATTGGCACTGTGGTGCAAAAGAGTGAGGTACATACAGTAAATGGTTTAAAAGTGAAGTGAAGCAGAACAACACGTGTTCATTTTATCTCAGGGCTTCCCGTGTCCTGGCACAAATTTGAGTAGTTGAAGTTTAATAGAGGAGACAAGTGTAAGCAAAAATGTGCTTGTGCACTTCACTCACTTGACACCTTTTATAAGCAGAAGAAAACTGAAATTAAAATGAGAATAGGACAATGAAAATTATATGAAATATATATCAAATTAATTCTAAAAACTCTTTAGCGGTTAGATTGTGTTTGCTGGTTTGGGCTGATATATACACCAAACCTTTGACCAAATACTAAACTGAACTGCTGTGTTACTGTGCAGACGACCAGTGTGCCTCCTGAATTCACCACTGTGCCTCATTTCTACAATCTATCGCACACTATTCTGTCAAAAAAACATTTTTTTAAACCAATACAAATCATTGTTGTTACAACACAACTATATTATATTTAGTTAATCAATAGCATCTTTGTTAAACTATGTGTGTAGGGTTGAGGTGTAGAGAGGGTAAGATCTTTTCACATATTGTTTTGTGCATTTTTCATCATACTTTTTGAAAGACTAATATTTTTGTTAGGAAATGTATTTTTTTTTTCACTGCAAGATGTATAATATTCTTATGTGACAATTGATATGATTATAATGACATGTCATGCCAAAACAAACACCAAATATTTGTGCAAAAATTGTTTTTTTTAAAGATTCTCCTGAAAAACCATTTGTTTTCATTGATGGGCTAACAGCAGAAGGTAATGCTTAGCAGTTTGTAAATGAATTGGAAATATGTCACTGCAGGCCACATGCATTTGGTCAGAGATGTATTATTTGACCTTCAGCCTGTCTAATAATCTATCTTCTGATAAAATGTATTAAACAATTGGTTATACATTTGTTGTTTTATCGCTGCATCATGTGTTGCATTGTAAGTAGTGTAAAGGGTCTGATTATGGGAACACTTGTTTGTATTGTCAGCGACCATTTTTCTGGTTCCATGGTCAGACAGGAAATTGGTACTGTGAAAATGCAGACTTTACTCAATGGTTTTCTGATAGGGTTCTTCTTTTGTCACCATATCTGTTTATTTTCAATGACCTCACTGCAATCTCTTCTATATGTACAAAAACAGTTTTTTCTTGTTGAATAAAAAAGTTAAAATACCTAAGAAATGTTGTTTATCAATCTGTGATATTTCTTATTTTAGTGAAAAACATCCCTTGGGTATGCTGGGTTTGAGTAATAGAAATCCTATAGTAAAACATGTATTTTGTTTGCAGAAATTAGTTTAGATAAGTTAGATATTGTGGGGGAAACTTCTGTGTAGCAATGCAGTGGGAGTCACCGACTCAGGAAGGAGACACGGTGAGAGTTGGAGCTTTTGATGTCAAACACTGATGGGTTTATTCAGAGTATCGGCCGGAGGATTCACATCACAAATCACGAGTCAGAGGGTCTGACTTCACGGGAGAGTTGCCATGTCAATTCTGAAGAGCCTCTCTCTATGCTAGACATTTTAACTGGTTCACAGAGAGTAATCAACATCTCTGAAGGAGTAGACTAAACAGCTGGGAACACTGAATCACTTGCGTCCGACACTTATGGCCTCAAAGATTTCACACCTTAGAGTCCACAAACACCGATAAAGAAGTGCCTCAGCGTTCTCACAACAATTACCATTCGTGCCAGACAAGTTGACCGGTCACAAACTGGTAACAACAACACATATGACACCAATGCCTTTCCTTAAAGGAGATAACAGACGTCAGAGTAGATCATAAACGTCACAGAGCAAAAGGTTAGATATCTAGAAGAATTATTCCTTAACAGATATAAGTTTTAGACTACTCATTGCCCGAAATGTGAACATTTACTTAGTTGTAACACCCAGTTTAATAAATGTAGAGAATATAGGAAAGTAAAATATTTGGTTGGAAATATATTCACTGTCTATGAAGAACCCATGCCTATTTAAATGTTCTCTGAAGTGTAAAACAATAACTAAATACAAATGTTACAAATAAATAAATGTCAATTTAATAAAACATTTAAATAATGTAACAACTAATGGTTGAAACGTAAACAGTTATAACATTACTTTGAATTAAAAGCCAAATTAAAAAGCTGTTTAGAAATATTGTCCCTCTTGGTTTAGTGGGCCCTTGATAAGTGTCTATAGGTAGATGGCTTAGATGTCATCAAAGTGTATATTGAAAAGAAAATTGTGTGTGTTTAGCCCCCACAACACCACAATGATTCTGCACAAGTGTTTGTCTTCAGTTCATTTCAGTCGAAAACTTATAGTTGAGCCGCCATAAAACCAACATCCCTCAGTAGTGACGGAGGTCTCTTCTGTGCTGAAAGGTTACTTTGGTTCCAACACTAGTAGCCGTTGGCATCTTCCCGGCCACGCGAAGGCGCTGTCTCGTGCGCGGCTCCCTCCTGTCCAGCGGCTCCGGTGCCTACGTCACCACATTCCACCGAATGCGATGTAACAGCGTGTAAAGCGTGAAGGTGTCTCACAAAACACTACAAGAAACATGTAAGTTCAATGAAAACGTGACAACATTTGTGTTTTTGTGTCATGTTCTTTTTCTGGTTAATGGCAGTCCGACTAACAACATTATAGTAGCTAGCGGTGGCTGCTGAGGCTTAGCTAACTTCTTACAGTCACTTCATTGTTTCTTGTGCCGGATAATATCACAGCCTGTTTGTTGTGGTGTAAACTGTGTTTAGATGCAAGATGAGGGAAGCGGCCATCCTGTTCACACCGTGTGTGTTTCTGTGTCTCTTCCTGAGCTTCAGCCAGGCAGCAAGACAGGGACAGGACATGAAATGTGGAGGTATGTGTCTGTATCTTAAGCTCGCTCTTTGTTAAGAACAGAAACGTCCTAATGCCTGTCTCCTCTCCCCCTGCTCCTTACAGCGTGCAGGGCTCTGGTAGATGAGATGGAGTGGGCCATCTCGCAGGTAGATCCAAAGAAAATGATCCAAACGGGATCCTTCAGGATTAACCCAGACGGCAGCCAGTCCATCAGAGAGGTGAGGATGCAGCACAGCCACGTAGTGACGTGTCCAAAACCCCCTCTAACCCACTATGTAGGATGCACCACTTTAAAAAGTCTCATAAATATACCAGACCTGTCTCCAATCTTCTATATTAAAGCATGTTTTATTTTTAAAGCAGGGTTGCAATAATTGAAAGTTTTGAATGATGATTGATGCAACCAGGTTCCCCTGGCCCGCTCTGAGGGAAACCTACTTGAGCTGATGGAGACTGTGTGTGAGAGGATGGAGGACTACGGTGAGCACAGTGATTCTTCCACAAACAGGAAGTCCTACCTTAGGATAAAGTCTCGGACTGGTGGAGCGATGGACCTTTCAGAGGCTAAGCTGGATTCAAGAGTTACAGGCAGTTTAAAATTTGCAGTAAGTAAAACATTTCATCGAATATTCAAAGCAGGCACCTGTGTTCATGCCCTTGCATAACATTCCTTTTTTGGTATTGATAATAAACATTTTGGATGCAACCCACAGCCTAAAATCGTGTGACTTTTACTATGAATTGTGCAGCTTGTAACTGTTTTTAAAATGTTTTTCTCCAGTGTGAAACAATTGTTGAGCAGCATGAAGATGAAGTCATTGAATTCTTCGGTCACGAGACAGATAATATCAAAGACAAACTCTGCAGCACGAGGACAGGTATGAATCACTTCGATTGATATATATATATATATATATTTTTTTTAATGCTGAGTTTTACATCTGATCCCTCTGGACCCCAAGCAATGCTTTAAAGTAAACATGTTTTTTAACCTGATGCAGTGTATGACGGTTTACAGGTCTATTGAACATTTTGTTCTACTGTAGTGATTGTATTTTATTTAATTATGTTCATGTCCTGTTTGCTTTGCAGACCTCTGTGATCACGCTCTGGAAATACCCCATGACGAACTTTGATATCATCTCACCATCTGAAACAGAGACGTCGGTAGCCGTAATGTTTTCAGTTGTCTCTCATCACCGGTTTACATTATGGGTAGTGGTAGAACATGTATACAGTTACTATGAAATATACCTAAAGATCCACTTGAAAATAAAAAATGTATTCCTATGATTTCTGACAATTTAAGGACCATTTTGTCATTTTTTCAATGTATCTCTTTGGACTATCCTGTCACTTATTTATATACTGTAAGTTATTTTACAATTTTGTTATAGTCTGTGTTTCATATAAAAATTGCCTCCACATACTTTTCACCAGATAAAACTGAAACTGTGAAACTGCACAAATGAAGTTATACTTCTGAGTGCATAGCTACATGATTTCTTACAGGATTAACTGTACATTCAGCAATATCATTTAATTACACCGAGGTGGAAATTTGGTCAAGTGGTCCTTAAATCTTTATTCATTTGCATTGATAAATCCAGGAAGAAGTGCATTGATGCCTACTCAACAATGAAAGTGTCATTTTACAGTTCTAGTTTATTCTTTATTGAATGTCAAGATCACAGGAATAACTTTCTGATGTACAATTTGAGAATAATTCGTTTTACTATTGTCCAAAGGACAAAATGTGCCTTTACAGCCGAACAAATTGATGTCAACACTCTTGAAATATGAATCCCATGTAGGCCCCTTGCTCTTGAGTCCTCTAATGTTTACTGTGATTTTTTCAGAAAATGGTTTACTTTCCCAACATGCTGCCCTTCTGATCCAGAGCAGAACATATCTTTATACCAACACAAAAAGTATAAAATTAGTTTAGAATAGTTTATAGATTTAGGAGTATGCAATCGCCTTTAATCACAATATTTAAAGCGTTTTTTAAATTTTTATTTCAAGCACCAAGAGTAAAGTTCTGTTTCCTCTTGTCTAGTAAAACTCCAGTGTAACACCACCAGAGTGTGCTTTCGTCCACAATCTGATAGTTGAGTCCAAATGATAAAGATCTCAGTTGGAGAGTCTTCATGCTGTACTGTAGATGTAGATTAAAAGTATATTTGGTATCATGTATTTTCAATGTTTGAAAAAATCCGAACATGCTGTCTTGTGAACATTCTTCTGATTTACTGATTACTTTTTTATATATAAACTTTGTAAGACCTTTGCATCTGTTTTGTCTTTAATGAACGTAAATATATTATGTGTGTCCATTTATCACAGGATTACAGTTCATTCTTGACCTTGCTTGGACACCAGCAAATCACTCACCACAACACAAGATTGACCTTTTAAAGGATTTGTGTTAATGCACTCTATTATTTTATTTACTTATAATACAGAACAATGGCTAGATTTCTGCCAGAAATATCACCACACCATTAAATCACTTCAAATAATTAAATATTATTTTACTTCCACTAATTTCACACCCATTGATTTACCTTAAACATTGTGGAGCAGGGATTTTAGAAGTCTGAAACTGGCTTTTTCTCCACTTAGTCAAAGTTCGGAAAAAGGCCCGCCCCAGCACCCTTATGATAATCTTATCATGATTCCATAAACACTCAACAATTAAACCACTATATTAAAATGTTGTTGTTTGACATAACTTCAGATCAAACACAGAATAAGGTCTAGATTTCGAAATCAGATAACAGTGAAATCCTCCAAAACTACTGTATCTCTGAACCATCTCTTCACCGAACCACACGCAATTAAGCTTTACTATTTGATCTGATTTGGTGTCACGAATGTCAAATTCCTACAATGCTATAGTAAAACAACAGTAATTACATCAATACTTATCACTCAAAAATAAAGCTCAAACAGATTTCACCGAAAATCTGCTTAATTGCTTCAGACACAATAACATTTAGATATAATTGTTAGTTAAATATCATGGACCAAAAGTTCGTTGTTGTTCACGTTTTCTTTTACAGACTCAATTTCAATGATCGCTTGCTCTGAAACCTCTGATGTCATGAAAACCACATTGTCATTTTCTTCTGGCTCTGTTTCTGCCATTTCCACAGCCCTGCTGGCTATATTCTCCACCTCCATTGGGTACGTTTCCTTAGCTGCACCTTTTACTTCATCACAGCTATATTGCTCCACCTCAGCCATCTGAAAACTATCGTGATCACCTGTCTTGCTTTCTGTCCCATCATCATGAGGCATTTCCTCAAACTCGTCTTCTTCTGCTTCAATAACGGTGTC